CTTGGATATGAGATGACCAAGTAAGGTCGGAAGATAGAACCAGTCCGAGGTATTTTGCATTAGACTTAGTTTCAGTTTCAGTCCCCTCAATGCTACAGACATCATGAGTGCTTACTAGTGTTTGTAGATCTCGTTTATGCCTAAAGGAGAAGTCAGTAGTCTGGCATTTTGAGGGATTCAGCATGAGGCCATTTAGTTTAGACCACTGACTGATGTCCGACAGGAAGCTATTTAACTTGAAGCAGTCTGACTGAGACTTAACGGGAAGCGAAACAGTCAGGTCATCTGCATATTTGAGGAAGTTGATTTCGTCTGAGAGAGGTGAGTCATGTAAGAAGAAGGAAAAGAGAAACGGCGAGAGAACAGCACCATGAGGAGCACCAGCTTCACTAAGCAAAGGAGAGGAAGCTACACCATCATATACCGTGTACTGCATCCTATTGGAGAAGTAAGAGTGCAGCCAGTTGATATCCCAGGACTCAGTTTGTGTAAGGCTAAGCTTGTTTAACAAAAGGCCTCTAGGTACAGAGTCAAAAGCAGATGTGTAATCAAGGAAAGTACAACGAACATACTTGGCCCATTTGTCTACCGAGGATACAATGTTGTGATGAAACACAACTGCAGCGTCCAAAGTACTTCTATCCTCTTTGTAAGCAAACTGCTTTGGATCATTTGAGAAGCTTAGGGAGGGAATGAGTTTTTGTAACAATAATTTCTCCATTAGTTTCAAAAAAGGAGAGACAATAGCAATTGTATACAATAGCAATTGGTCTAAACTTAACCCTATTTCCAGAACCAGACTTGGGTACAGGGATGATTTTAATATCTTTCCACAGAGAAGGTACAACATTATTTGAAAAAGAAGTATTGAAAGTGTTTGTAAGTGAGTTACTTAAAGTATCAGCACATTTCCTTAGAACAATGGCAGGTATACCATCACGGCCTAGACTCTGGGAAGGTTTAAGAGATTTTAGACATTTAAGAACATCAGAAGTATTGGAACCATGAAAGTTACTAGTCGTGTTATTAGTTAAATTGAAGGCAAAAGGGACATTTGGAGGGCGGATGAAAGATCTGTTGAGAGTATTTACATCAACAGTAGAGGCAAAATTACTATGCTTACCACAACTTGTTATTTCTCTAAAAAGCTTCCATACGTTTTCTGAAGTTTTATAAGATAGTATTGTTTGATTATAAATGTTGTTTAGTCTCTTGATTTCAGATTTAATTTGGGTGTTTATCTTCTTAAGACCAGATTTATTCTTTGTCTTGTACAGCTTCTCTTTTTCTCTACGAAGCTTTTTGAGATGAGGGGAAGAAAAACGATGACAAGACATCGTATTCTTCGATAGCTAAAATCAGTATTCTGTACTAAGTCTATAAACAAATGTTTTGGTTACAGGATTTCACCATGAGCTGACATTGGTTAGAGAACCAGTAGGGTGCAGCAGGTCGGGTGTGAGGACAAATACTCGCCGAAGACATTGGCTAGCGGTTGCGCTATATCGTGAATTGGCAGAAGTTAGAATTCATGGGCCGTTGGATCGGGTCCCAGTGCCTTAATGGTCTACGAGCTCGCCTTGTAACCAGAAGGTCGTGGGTTCGAACCCTGGTGGTGAGCGCGTACTTCTCAAGAGTCCCAAACTAGGACGGACGAAACAGCTGTCCAATACTCCCAGGTTTTCCAATGGTTCTCTAGCCAATGGCAGCTCATGATGAAATCCTGTAACCAATCAACCAAATCCCTACAAACCAATACTTGAAAAAATGTTTTTACAAGGAATGTATTGTACTTTTACTCATCTTCCAACTTGTACACGATCGAATCACTCCCGCCTTCAAGTTTCCCGCCAATGGCAACCAAGGCCAATGAACGAACGCTCAGTGTTCATAATCATTGGCAAAGCTTCAATGACTCCTATGTTGTTTTCATCTTATGAGGTTATTAGTCCTTAGGTCAACCTTCTGTCATTTCCAACCTTACTGGCGCCTTTCAAACTAGGCAGGAATTAAGTGTCGAACCAAAGCCTCCTGCGAGGTTGGCGAACATTCTTTATTTTATATTTACATACCATTCATACAAGCCTTTATTTACAAATCCTGATGAACTATTTTATTTTATCTTCCATAGATAAATAAATATTAGTTTATCCTATTTTGTCACAGCGAAGATAAATACAGACTTATATCTGTTTATCATTAAAAATTGATTGGTTGACTAACGAACTCGTAGACTGACCTTGGTCGATGATTTTTTTCTTTGTCAAATATTCGATATCTGAATTATCTAGATCATGTTTTCATCCAAGTCATAATTTATTAAATGTAAAAAGAAGGGGTTCTTTGATGAATGATTGTAGTAATTCGTCATATTAGTTCATTGGGAACTTGTATGAATAATACAGTTCTATATGATCATTGATCATTCAGAGCGATGAATAGTTAGGTTAATTTGTATCAATCAGTTTTACCGTATCAATGCAATTAATTTGGACAGTTACAACAGCGATCGACTATTTTTTATGAAAATATTTAGAAGTCATTATCATAAAAATCTCACGTACTTCAACTTTTACCCATTATCGTATAGCTCTTATTTTACTCGACCTGTACAATTCATGATTCCACTTAGGATTTCTGGTTTTTCAGCCTAGAATCTCAAGCTTAGAAAATAAAAATTCAGCTGCTTATTAACTTCAATTTCATTGACAATGAAAAGGCCTTTGGTAGAGTTGACCGTGAAGTAATTTGAAAACTGTTTCAACACTGCAGTGCCTAAGACGTTTATCAATCTAATTCAACAGCTATACGACGATTCCTCATGTCAAGTAATCCACAACAGAGATATCAGTGAAGCCCTTGAAGTGAAGACGAGATTAAGGCAATGCTGCCTACTAACACCGACGGATGGTATTCTTAATTGTAGTAGACTGGATCATGCACCAGACAGTTCGCGGGAAGCGAGAAGATAGGACAAGGTGATACTAGATGACGTCACGCAAGCCTGATCATTGAATTCTCAGTAGCGTGTCCTTTTCTACTATGGGAGTTGCTAGCCTGACGTGCAACCTTCTTTCTTTACCGGGTTTGCCTCTAGCTAAGCGAAGTTTAGGAGTGCGTTAGCCACAGATATAAATCCAGATCACGTACGTGGTTGAAAAGTGTTCTACTAGTAAACCACTAACGCATGTTCATAGCTAAGAAGTGATGTTTCTTTCTTTGAATTGTTATGCTTTACTTCTTTCTTTCAAGTTAAATCACAGAGTGGTATCACCTACAAAACCATTGAAAATCAGAAAATAATGAGCAGTTTCTTCGTCTTCATTCTGGACCCCTGATCAGTACGCACCTGTGACCTCCAAGGGGATCAGAGCTAGGACCTTTAGGTTACGATGTGAGCCCGCTAATTACTCAACAACCAGTGTATCAGAATCCAACAATCTATGAATTCTAACTCTTAAGAATTCTTTTTTTTCGATGAATGGCAAGAACACAAATAGTTCTCACCATTAATAGTTACTATTGCTGGAAATATTCTTTTCATTCTAATACATAATCTGAAACCTGTTTTCAAGTATTTGGTATTACCCATAGTTGTATGATCCTAGTTGAGTATTTATAAGAGCAGAAAAGCGTTGAATTGTTGATCTACAGAGATCAATACCCGTTAATGATACTGGCTGACAGTTATCAAGAATAGGCAAATTTTAAAATTCACCACATCAGCTTGATAACTCTACAAAGATTGGACGCTGCAGTCAAAAAGGCTTTTTATGCAGCTAAGGTCAGAATAATTGAGAATGTGAAGCGCATATATCCATTTAAGCCCTTAGAACATGTGGAAAATGATGTCACATCTCACCGTATTTACCCATTTAAATGTACGCGTGGACGCATATACATAGGGAGGACCCAGAGATCTCTCCAAGTAAGACCTTCAGAGCATATTCTTAAGTGGCTCCAGAAACAAATAGAATCTTCAAAACCCACTAATGGTGGTGCGAAACATATTATAGAGACAGGACATAAAAACGATGTTTACACGTCTTTTAAACCTATCAATAAAACGTGTTTTCGGCGTATCCTAAAGTTTGTGGAAGCCCTGGAAGTTTAAACCACCTTTATGCATTCAAAAACAATTTTTCATCACACAAAACCTTCCTTGGTAAACTTTTTAAATGCTGTGTGAATTAAATGCGAACATTTGGTTATCTCTCTAGACAACATCTTCAACACCAACTTCAAATCAATAGAATTTCAAGCTTTTCGAATTAGGAAATAATCACCTTCATGCATGTGTGCATAAATGTATACTTTTCTAAATGACGGTTTTTATGCAATGATCATGGCGAAGCGTGATAATAATAAACTGATAGTGTACGAGACGTAGCTTATATGTTTCAATAGATCCCCATTTACACACACAAAGCTAAGCTAGAACTTCCTATTGAATATGGAAATCACGCAAGAAATTAAGTTGATATCTCAAACAACGAAAAGTACAGATACAGGATGACAATCAAGAGTACAACTTCGAGCCAACCAATAGAAGGCCGATTGTCATGAATCCAAAAAGGCAAAAGCGATAACTGTATTTCTTTCATTGAAAATATCATACGAAATCATTGACGTTTCCCAGGAAGATAATGAAACCTTCTCAATTAAACACAAAAATGCCTATCTGCTTAATTGACTCTCAATTGATTAGAATGTTTACACCTCTCCCTTTAATAATATGTATACTCAATTCGATGACCCCACCCTACTCCCGCCGACATGTGACTGTATGTGATATAACAGGTCATATTGAAAACAAAAAAACACAAATCACATTGTAATTTACACACATGTATTCATTTTAAAAATCCCTGAAATTATGAAAATACATTCTCTAAATAATCGTAACAGACGCTGTTAGTGTTAATAGTAGTAGGTATGGTAGCAGGTGTGGTAGTAGACTAGATAAAGGTTTCTGATCTTACTATTTTTTTTCACTTGGATTATTTTTCTTTACTGCAAGGTTCATTATCCTGATAGGCTAAATCATCGCGTAGATTCATTCCTTGAAAAATAAAATGAATATCAAAAGAAGCGATAAATTCATATTGACAAATTATAATATCAAAACAACATAATATTCAAGTTACAGGATTTCATCATGAGCTGATATCAGTTAGAGAATCATTGGAAAACCTGGGAGTACTGGACAGCAAGCTGCTTCGTCCTAGTTCGGGACTCTTCACCAGTGCGCGCCTACTGGGGGTCGAACCCAGGACCCTCTGGCTACAAGGCAAGCTCGTAGACCATTAAAGCCATTGGGATTTGATCTAATGGTCCATGAATTCCAACTTCTTCGAACATAATATTCATTTTCGAACATGATTTAAACAAATATGTATTTCCGGTAAATTCTCATCAGACTTTATATTTACATAAGGAAGTGTTATGCATAGGCATTTGAATTAATGTGGTTAATAAAATATAGGATCAGAGTTCAAGGATGTGAATTAATGGATAACAATCAAGGTGATCATTATAATAGTAATAGTAATAATAACAACGATAAATTCACTCAGCATTACCTAGATTATATAAACAGCAAAGAAAGGACTAAACACATCACACTAGTTACTAGCGTCCAATTAAAATACCCACTACAGTCCAACAGGAGGTCAATCGCGAGCCTAAATAGCTCAGAGGTAACGTCTCAGACTGCAGCACTGGGTGATGCGGGTTCGAATCTCAATAGGGACATGAGTTCCTTCAAGGTCGCAGATACGCCTTGCTGACTGGTGAGTGACAACTAGCACGAAATCTAGGTTGAAGGCTTCCTGTGGCCGATTGCCTCCAACCGTCTAAGATCCTATATTTTATTAAGCAATTTAATGCAAATACCTATAACTAATATTTCATCATGTAAATACAAAGCCTGATGAGAATTTACCAGAAATACGCATTTGATTACATCGTGTTCTATAATTATCATTATGACAATATTCATTAGTTTTTTATGTTATTGTAAACACCTTAACAATCAGTATGAGGAAACCAGGTTCGGCTTTTTAACACCAATGTCAAGTCAGTGAGTTTATAGAGTTCTGAGATTTGTCGCATGACATGAACTGCCGGTTGAAGACTTTCACCAACAGGTGCCACCTTTCCATACTGAAGGTCAAATAGCCAACCGGAAAGAATATGCAACAAATAACTCTGGATAGGTAGGTGACCAGTCAGCAAATCTACTGATCAAAAAACTAGATATGCGCAATGAGATGGAGAAGGATTGGACTTTAGGCAAGATCGTAACGGTAGAAGACTAAAAGATTTGTAAAAGAATGTTCATCTTCAACACACCATTCACACAGATCTTCTGTGTTGTCCCAATTCTCCACCTCCCGACGGAAAGCTGCTACCTTGACGTGGTGGTCGGGCTTGAACACCGCAATGATCTATTCAAGCTATACTGGCTGAGACTTATGTCTCTTGAGGTTCTACCATGCCAGGCAGGTTGTTTGGATAGCGGTTAAACAAAAAGCAGCTACCCAATCCAACATCATGTCCAATACAAAATCACAAAATTTCATGCCGGATCGGCCGTGGCCCGGATTAACAACGACCGCGCTTCCTGCTGCCGTGTCACAGGGCAGGAGTGATAAATATGCTACTGAGACACCAAACAAAAGAGAACAAACAAAAACAGGCCGCGTGTGACCGGCCTCAAGCAGTTGTCCCCTGGGCTCTGCGGTCACGCAACCAACTTCCACGGTGTGGGCAGCCGGGAAGTAACAATCGCCCTCACAATCCGAAATGCACACGAAACCTCTCTATTACTCACTCATCTTTGTCTTCATCTTCATCTCTATCATCTTGCCTTCCTTCCACTGATGCAACTCCTCGACTTGATAGCTCTCCACTTCCTCTCCACTCTGCGTCCACTAAAAACGATGGAAGCCAAAAAACCACCACCGACAGCCTCTTAAAGCCGCGCCACCAATTTCATATAGGAGCTCTTAATGTTAGGACACTTTGCCAAATAGGACAACAAGCATCACTAGCCAAGACCCTGGCATCACGAGCCATTGATGTATGCTGTGTTTCAGAAACACGCATACAAGACCCAAGTGTGGTTATTCACCTAACCCCACCTGGCCAACAGGTTGAATCTGCAAAATTCACCTTGAGGGTGTCAGGAGATGCCACAGCTAGTTCACGAGGATTAGCTGGCGTAGGGATAGCTTTGAGTACTAGGGCAGAAAAGACATTGCTTGACTGGATCCCGGTAGATAGCCGAATGTGTGCTGTCCGCCTGAACGGATCAGTAAGAAGGAGGAAGGACTGCACTACTCGCCGATGCCTTTTCGTAATCTCCGCCTACGCCCCCACTGACTGCAGTTCAGATGAAACGAAGGATGAGTTCTACCAAAAGCTGTCTAGTTTGGTGCGAAAGGCTAAACGCTCAGACATAGTCGTTCTAGCTGGTGACTTTAACGCTCAAGTAGGGAAATTGTGTCAATCTGAGAAGGATGTCGGTGGCACCTATGGAGTTCCGTGCCAGCGAACCGACAACGGTGACCGTCTCCTACAGTTCTGCTCTGATAATCATTTGTTTCTTGTAAGCACTAACTTCAAACACAAGGAGAGACACTGTTTGACTTGGAGACCCCCTTCATCAAACCAACGCTGGACACAAATAGACCACATAGCAATAAGCTATCGTTGGCGTGGGTCGGTAGGAGATTGTCGCTCCTTCTGGAACACGTGCGTAGATACCGACCATGCACTGGTCCGCGCTCGGGTGTGCTTACGACTGAACGGACGTAGGAAACAGCTGGCGGTAAAACCATCACGTCCCCAGCTCGATCAGGAAACTAAATCCGTATTTGAGGAAGAACTAGCTAAACACATATCTGTGTTCGACAGCTGTGCTCACCCTGAAGAAGCTTGGAAAAATATCCAGGCAGCCATAGATACAGCTGTAAAAGCTGTGAATAAGGTAAACCCAAAGGTGAGTAAAAACCACTGGATCTCCACCGCCTCATCCGAACTGATAGATGCTAGAAGACTTATTCCGGCGAGCTCCGAATTCAATGAGGAGCGAAAGCTGCACAAGAGGAAACTTACGAAAAGTCTCCGCAAGGACCGTGAACAGTGGTGGGCGACAAAAGCCAAAGAGATGGAGAAAGCTTCGAGGATAGGCAACACCAGGCAACTCTTTGGACTCATCAGGGAAACGGGTGGGAGAAGACAAATCATCAGTGAGACAATCTCGGAAAAAAATGGCACTATAATTAGCTCACAGGATAGACGACTGGATCGTTGGAAAGAGCATTATGAGGAGCAGTTTAATTTGCCCACAGCCACGCTCAACCTTCCGAGCATCCAACACCTCCCTGAATGGGATATAAACACAGGTCCTCCGTCACTAACTGAGGTTACTAAAGCTGTCACCAATCTGAAACTAGGCAAAGCAGCGGGACCTGATGGAATGACTCCAGAGGTATTTAAGTACGGTGGAGACAGCTTACTGTCCGGATTAACTGAGGTACTAGGCAGCGTCTGGGAATCAGAAGAAGTCCCATCGGGTTGGTGTAAGTCACTGATTATCCCCATATACAAGAAGGGAGACAAGTCTTCCTGTGATAATCACAGAGGGATTAGCTTGACTAATATAGTATCTAAAGTCTTAGGCTCAATAATCATGCGTAGACTGAGTGGTGCTCGGGAAGCACAAACACGAGAGAGCCAGGCAGGCTTTAGACCAGGAAGAGGGTGTATTGATCATATCTTCACCCTCCGACAGATTCTAGAACATAGGCATTCCTACCGGCGTCCAACAGTCATTATATTTCTTGACCTAAAGGCAGCATTCGACTCTGTCGATCGGGAAGTTCTCTGGAGATGCTTGGCTGTAAAGGGAATTCCGAGAAAATATATTGCACTGATTAAGGCACTCTACTCGTACTCATACAGCCAGGTGAGGGCTTACGGCGAGCTGTCATCTGAACTGATGACGACCAGTGGTGTCCGTCAAGGATGCCCATTATCTCCTTTTCTATTCAACTTCATCATAGATGTGTTAATGGACTTAACCCTAGGTGACTTCAGCGACTCAGGGATTGACTTGCTACCGGGGAATAATCTCGTTGACTTGGAATATGCAGACGATATAGTCCTTCTAGGCGAAGACGCTGACGAAATGCAGAGTCTTCTAAACACCTTGAGCCGCAATCTACGAATGTTTGGCATGCGATTCGCTCCCGCCAAATGCAAGATGATGTTACAGGACTGGACTACATCGACGCCTAGTTTAAAAATAGGAAGTGAAGTGGTAGAGCACGTTGACCGCTTCACTTATTTGGGAAGTACCATCAGCCCCAACGGGCTGATCTCTGACGAAATCTCAGCACGAATACAAGGGGCTCGTTTCGCATTTGTTAGTTTACGCCGACTCTGGCGTAGACGAGATGTTCGACTATCGACCAAAGGGCGGGTGTACTGCTCATCAGTCCGCTCCGTCCTCCTTTATGGTTGTGAGACCTGGCCACTGAGAGTGGAAGACATGAAAAGACTAGCTGTCTTTGATCATAGGTGCCTGCGTTCTATTTCCCGTGTAAAGTGGCATAATAAGGTGAGCAACATTGAGGTTAGGCGTAGAGTTCTAGGTAAACAGGGGAAATCAATCGACGAAGTCGTGAAGCTACAAAGACTGAGATGGTTAGGACATGTGTTACGTATGCCAAGTCATCGCCTCCCTCGACGAGCAATGTTAGCGGATATAGGGTCAGGCTGGAAAAAAGCTAGCGGCGGTCAAACAAAAACTTGGCACCAGTCAATGAAATCCACAACAGTTGGTCTAAGCCACGTAGGAAGGTGTAGACTTCCAGGCTGGGGTCCTCGGGACGGTAAAAATCTATGGTTGGAAACAATTGGTGACATGGCTCAAAATCGTTCTCAGTGGCGCAGATGCATCCACTCCTTGTGACTTATGATCTCCAATGAAACTGTTTTGTTTTTCTTTATTACTCCTTTGTCTCACACCTCTGCTCACTGTTTCTATTATGCTTTTCTTGTACAATCTTCTCTTGCTTCGCGTGCTACACGGAGTGTGGCGACTTGAACTTCCGCACATTTGTGCAAAGTTCTATGTCGAAAACAGACATAATTCTCCACCTCATATTGTGTTTCTTTATGTTGCTTTCACTTCTCCCATATATCTCCACAGCGCTGTATCATTTACCTTCTGTGAAATTAAATGTATCTCCCTGTTATTTGATATTTTTATGCCGATGAATATCTCTCTGCATACTACTGATATATGTTATCAGTAGCATACGCCATAACACCACTCGACAGATGATGCTTGGGTCTGAGAGTGATATGGAGAAGATCATATGAAGAGCAAATGAAACCGTATAGGAAGTCATGGAAGTAGCTGAAAGCGATGACAGAGAACCGAGTGCAATGGACATGTGTCGTTCAAGCCATGTGTCCCACTCGGAACGTAAACAATGAATAATAATAATAATAATAATAATAATAATAATAACTACATCACAATAAATAGAATTAATCAACAATTAAGAAATAAAAGGGAAAACTCTTAATAATTAAATGCACCAGTCTACTGTGACAGTACGGCAATGAGAACCTGTATAGGCATCAAGCTTTTACTAAGTTTTAATCTCCACCAAAGATAGTGATAATCCATCCTTATCTACACAGAAGGATGTACACCTTTAAGCATATACTTAAATCTCTTGACACTAAGTTATCCCCTGAAAAATGGAGTTTATATTAGCAAACTTTTTAAAGTCATCTACCCAGAATATTGTAATTATATGTGCAAATCTATGAGCAACTCTTCATCTGTGTACATGTGTGTATGGAAACAGATGATGACGCTGTCATCTCGTGGTTTAGACTGAAATAGTTAGAGTAGGATTCGAACTTCGCCAATCATTAGCTGGAAGTCAACTGCTCAGATAAATAAATTGCATCACTGCGAATGTCATGTTCAAATATCACTACTAGCAATAATGTCTAAATAGAAAAAACAACCAAAAGCACATATAGTTCAAGTATTGGTTTTGTAGGGATTATGTTTGATTGGTTGGAGGGTAAAGTAGGGTACAGCAGGTTGCAGGTGAGGAAGTAACTCATTGAAGAAGAAACTGTGAAATGTTCGCGCTATATCACGAATTGGCGGAAGTTAGAATTCATGGGCTGGTCATTGAGTCGAGTTCCAGTGGCTTAATGATCTAGGAGCTGGCTCGCCTTGTAACCAGAATGTCCTGGGTTTGAACCCCTGTGGGTGCGTACAGATGAAGAGTCCCAAACTAGGATAGAAAAGCTGTCCAGTGCTCCCAGATGGTTTTCCTATAGTCCTCTAACTGATGTCAGCTCATGATGAAATCCTTCAACCAACATATAGTTCAATAAATATGACGATGTAAGAAAAAGAATAATTTTTTGTTTACAAAACAACACAACCCACTGTAAACATTTTTATCTTCATCGACAAGTTCTATTTGAATAACCGTCGTTCTAATAAGCAATTCAGAATCTTCTGCAGTTTTTAATAACTATGAAATGAAAACAAAAGGACAGCTAACTATACAAATGAATGAGGTACACGCTAAACGTTACTCTGTAATACGCCTCAACTTTTTTCATTTCTACGTAAAATCCAATATCTAAAGTTCTCGTTTCAATAATTATGTGTAGAACGAGCAGTGCTCGACAGAAACAATTCTCAGAAAACCTGTCAAGCCTGAAAAGGGGTACATTAATCATATCTTCACCATTTGACAGATTCTGGAACATGTGCGTATTCATTTCTTGACCCGAGAATGGTATTCGACTACCTCGATAGACAGATGCTGTGAAAATGTCTGGCTTTGAAAGCAGTATTAATCAAAGCACTCTGCTTGATCTCATGCAGTCGTGTAAGAGCTTACGCAGAGTTTTTATCTACAGTGATGACAACTAGTAGTGTCCGACAGGGATGCCCACTGTTCCCATAGATGTACTAATGGAATTAAAGCTAACTAACTTTAGGGACCTAACCACTAACTTGTTACTGCCTTCCTCGGTGAGAAATGTTCGCTGATATAGGATTACACTGGACACATGTTAGGTGTGGTCAAACCGAGAGATCTTATCAATTCCATGAAATCTTTAACATTCGCTTTGAAACACGTAGGAAAGGATAGACTACCTGGTTGGGTTCCTCGACATACTAAGAACCGATGATTGGTGATATGGTTAAAAATCGTTCTCAGTGGTATAGACGCATTCACCCGCTGTATTCTCAAAGATCCCCACTATTATTATTATTATTTCTCCCATACATTCCCGCTTATTGCAGTTCTTTTGAATTTCTTTTTTCTCTATCTCCCCTATATTTGTGTGCTATATGGAATGTGGCATGTTAGAGAGCTACAATTCCATGCAAAATTCTATGTTGAAACTTGTTCATGTAATTCTAATATGTCAATAAATAGATATGTGATACATTGTTTTGTCATCAGTTTCTATATTTTTATGACCATAATAATTTAAAATTATTATTTTTAATAACATTAATGCTGTTTTAAATTACACTGAATCAATGGTATCGACAGATAACATTTCAAAACCATCAGTAAGAGGCACCATGCATTAAGATATTCCTTTACCTTCCTAGTGGAACAGAGAGCTTCAAGCTAGAGACTTGAAGTTTCGGTAGCAGTGGTATTTATTTCTACAGGATGAGGTTGCTAGCATCATGCCCAACTTTCCATCTTTACCAGTCTTATTACTGGCTTATCGATGTAAAGGAGTGCGTAGGCCAGGGATCGAACCCCGGACAGCATGCATGGTCACCGAGCATTCTACCACTGTGCATTAAGATAACATTAAACTAAATGTCAGATAAATTAAGAAAAATAATAAAGCATTTATGAATTTATAGGTAATGGAGAGAAGATTTGTAGTTCAGGTGGATGATCTTCAATTAGTTGCGTTCTCTGAGCTAGTTGATTTAATCACGAAGCTTTCGTCGCCTTTCTAGACAACATATTCAGCATGTTTCAGTATAAAATGAACTTATTTAAGTTCTCCATGAATGATTATTGACAATCATGATTAAATCAACCAGCTCAAAGAACACAACGAATTTATAGGTTCCACGTAGGCCAAGGCAGCAGTAGTGACTGCTGGAACTGTTTATTTTGCCACTAAGCTGTAACTCATAGATTCCACACAATCAGTTTTCATTCTGAAACTGAAGAACGAAGTACCTAAGGTTAGCCATCTTTAATTTTACGTATCAATTAAACTGTTCCTTTGAAGTCAGTTATATTGGCCATTGCTCTAGGGACTTAATTTTTCATGTTCGGGAACACCTACCAGTTTACCTACATAATGGTATAGTTTAAACGATCAACAGTTCTATGTTGTTGGATCACTTCGACCAAACGAGTCAAAAAAACCAGCAATGAGGAATATTTCTCTATCATCTATCGAATATAGAATGAACTACCAAAGGCCTCTAGATACCGAATACTTCAAATATCAGAGGTCATTGTGAGTCGTTTACATCGACCGCAGCTCTGTGAGCAAAAGGAAGCAGATCCGGCCACAATCGCTAACTTGGCTTGCATTGAAACCCATAAATTCTATATTATATGTCTTTATCTTGGTGTTATAAAATTTAGTGTATTACATATTCATTGTATCCAACATAACTAACTAACTAACTTCCTTACTTCGTTTACTTTCTCTGGATCCGTTTCATTTCGATTAGCCCGAAATTCTGAATTGATTTTCTCTCTAGCAGCTAAAAAGAGAATTTAAGCATAAAAAAGAAATAAAAAGTATGTACAACATCTAAAATCTAAATGTGTTTATATGGATAGCATTTCAATGTAAAGACTTTTTAATTAGGGCGGTTCAATAGTAATAGAATGCTGAACAGTCACAAAGATGGTTTGGGCTTGACCCTCAGCTCATACACTCCTAAACCTTTCCGGTAGAATGCCTGGGAAAGAGGAAAGGGTATGAAGCCAGGAACCTTAACCACGCAAATATAACACCACCAGTACTGAAATTTCGAAGCATGAACCTCTATATTCCACTATTAAAGCCAGAGGAATAACAGTGCCAAAAGACTCAACGGTAAAAGAAGACAAAATCAATGCCATCTACAAAATAAGTTCCATAGACTACGATAACTACTACATTGGTTAAAATAGGTGTCCCTACAACTCCGAATACAAGAAACCAAACTACGTGTAAAATATACAAAATATATGCTTTCATTTAGACAGCAATTTGACCGGGAAAATGGAGAAATTCTAAGCAGTGAAAAACACAAAAAGGGCCAGAGAATTTCTAGAAACCTAGTTCTCAGATAAATCAGCAACTAACTAACTGACACATTACTGTGAAATAAATTTATCAACCCATATAGAATACGCCAGATGACAAAAGAAATTCAAATTCCAAGTTAATGAAAACTGATGCAAATTAACAATTAATTATGATAAAGGTTAACAGGATCCAAATTAGTTTGTTTATTAGATATGTCACACAGTAAAATAGTAATATTTACTGGATGGCAAGCTTTCGAAAAAAATTTATTGCGGTTCATAATCATATCAATTGTGATCATACGACTTCGAAACTTGAGTTTAATAGTTTCCTTTGTCCTCTCCTATTTGTCGTCGTAGGGGTAGTAGAATTTTCCAGATATCCACCTGGACAGGTGTTGAATCATTCCCATTACATGTATTTGCAGTTGATTCGATAAACAAAGCTTCCGTCAGCATCAATCTCTAGATTTTAAAACTGTCATCCTATCCCATCCTATTATATGGTTGTATGTAGTGCTATAGCTGAACTATTCTCTAGATTTTTTATCTTATTCGAGTCACCTAATCTAGATTTCGCTAGGTTTTTATGTTCGGCTAGTCTAACCGCCCCTGTTCTACTAGTTTGACTTATGTATTTGAACTGACAAACATCTCAGACACTATATTAGATAAACTAAATTGTTTCGTTTTAAAGACTCCACAGGATCCTCTGACCGACAAAGCTTATTTCTAATTGAGTGTGTGGTTGGTTTAAATGCCAGTCACTTTTATTCCTGCCTTGTTAAGAATTCTGCGTAAGGTTCCCGAGATTCCTTCCTTGTATGGAATTACTACTGAGGATTTAGATTCCTCATTGTTAGTGTCGTCATTAATATTATTATTATCACTATTATTGTTATTACTATTATCATTATCACTATCGCTACTAACATTATTTATTTTAACTGATTAAAAATGCCCATTAAAATTTTCAAAAGAATGGATACTGAACAAAGAGTACTCTTTTCGATAAATCCATCATCAGGCTCTACATTTATACATATATTATTTATTTTATTTTTAAATTTCCTCACATATTTCTTGACTAATTTATCCGGGTAATTATTAAGTTTCAAAGCTTCTTTTATGTGTATCACTTCCTGTCTTAGATTTTCCTTAGTACTACTTAGGTTTTGTGCTCTGTCAAATAAACATTTCACTAATCCTATTTTTACTGACATAGGAAGGGATGATCGCAAATCCAAATACCTGTTTGAATGTGTGGGTTTTCTCTAAACACTAGTGTTTAACTTCCCATCTTCTTTCCTTTTTACGTTGCAATCTAACATTGGAAGCTCCCCTTCCTGACTTTCCAATTCATAGGTGAATTGAATTGCCTCTACTTTCGAGTTGATGTGTTCGAAAAATTTATCTATATCTTTTGTTCTAAGTGTACAGTGAATGTGTCATCTACATACCTCCACCCTACTTTTGGGTTGGGGATGAACGTTTCAATCGCTATGTTTTCCCACCTATCCATGAATATATCTCTGTTACAACCGGGGATATTAATGGTTAACAGAAGAAACAATTGCATGAATATGCATATAGAATTCAGATAATTTCATTTCATATTGAAGTTTGCACTGATTATCTTGCCTAGAAGAACAATGAGAGCTTTCCAGTTAAACAAATCAACTTACAAGACACATCAAGATCAAAATTATCCACCCACAGATCTCAGGAATAAGAAACTTCATTTTGCTCTCAAGTCACTGTAAATTTCTAAAGCTCTCAAATTACATAATAAAATAATGATACAACCCAGTCCACCTTTAAATTATTCAAAACCAAGACCATAAGTAGTATAAATAATCATGAATATCTATCTACCTTGTAATGTTTCATGGTCGCCTTTAAATACTTTCTGACATGTACGATGCAGCTTTTTGAATATTGCCACGGCCTGAAATGATTAATATTCATAACCATAATCATAATATTAATAATAGGAATAATAATGTTAGAACTTTATTTCTTATATATATGCACATATGTTTATATAGTCTGATTCGATATGGTCAGAAATTTTGTCATCTAAAAGTAATACCTTATGATCGTATATACTACTGATTGACTGATATGAGTAGTTTCCAACTTCTCACGAAAACCGGCAGTATTTGCTAGACAGCTCAAAATGATGTTAACAGCAGATGCCTGTTTCGCTGTTCGCCTGGGGCTAAACTCATTAGATAATATGTTCGATATTGATCAACTCAGAGAGCCGAAAAGTATTACTAATTTATAACTCATTAAAATACTAATTGTCTTTTGAATTTGACCACAAGTTGATATCAGTTAAAGAACCATTGAAAACCAGGAAATATTGGACGGCTGTTTCATCATAGTTTGAGAGTCATCATCAGTAGGCACCCACCACCGGGATTCGAACCCAGGACCTTTGGGTTGAAAAGAAAACTCGTATACCATTCAGCCACTGGGATCCGACTCAATGACCGGCTCATGAATTCTTACTTCTACCAATTCGTGATTTTTAGCGCGACCACTACCCAATGTCCATCATCACCGAATAAAAACCAACTACTGTGAAATTGTGTATATAAACTCTACATGTTATTTTAATACCTCTGGCAAAAAATAAATGGTTGATGAAGAAAATAAAAGACAGATTCAGAGAGGAAAATTTTCTTTATCGGCGAAGTCATCTTCAGAGGCTGTACAGTCGTATTTATACTTAGAAAAATGTATAGTGGTCTATTATTGAGTAATAGGGGGTGATATAATTGATATAATTAATCATAAGTGGCTTTAGAAGTGAAAATTAAAAGTTGTAAATTACATAGTACTCAATGGAACAAAGATAGAAGTTTGATAAGGTTAAAATTGCTCTTGAGTAAGAATAAAGGTATTTGAGTGTCATTTTAATAGGTGTGAAGAGGGTGTGAAAATACACAAAAGGAGTATATGAGAGTGATAATAGTGAATTAATTATTAAAGCAAAAGCAAACTAAAAGTAAAATTAAAAACAAAAGAAAAAATCAAAATTTTTTTTACAGGGAACGACTAGCGAGGACGTTAAGACCAAGGTAGAATTAGAGACTGGACAAACTTTTGCTGTATAGAGTTCGGGGTTGTATTGACGAGTCGCCAGCGCCTCTGCCATACACAAATGCCAAAGTATGACGTCCTTTGTACCATTTGGCTTCACTTTGTAGGTGATCTTGAAAGACGGCTCTGGTGGAGCTACGTGGCCTGAGTTCACCAAATGCTCGAGAATTGAGCTAGTAATTGTCTTGCATTATCCCTTTGCTAACCATGCCAGATAATGTTCAGAGATGCGTTTGGAGAGCGCGCGCTTTGTGAGGCCAATACAACTAGCTCCACACGAGCAGGTGAATTTATAAACACACATTGAGGTGGCCCAAAGCAGCAGTTTATCATTCACACATCCATTGATCATTTGTCGGCTGTAGAAATTGATACGTAGCTCAGCCATAAAGAAGGCTTTCCTTAGTGATCTGCATAGGCAGTTTTTCAGAATCTCAGCTGTGGTATCACCTTTAAATTCAACACTCATAAAGAGCAGTTTCCTCGGTACCGTCTGGGTTCTTTCAGGCTTTTCCCTTAACTTCATGTTTTTCTCGATAAATCTTGGAGGATATCCATTCTCTATGGTTGATGCTTTTACAAGATAGAATGAATACTGAATTGAGATTAGTTAGTATAGTTCTGTACAATAATGTTTCCATTTAAAGGATGACAAGAGTAGGCTGATAATCAGTTCTCTTCCATTATCACATTGCATTTTTAATAAAATAACTTCCCTCCCTCCAGATACTTTCAAAATATCTTAAGCATAGTATATGCAACAGACCACAAAGGTTAATGTTGCGAAACAACTTCACTTCTGGCAAAATGACCATCATCATCAAAGATATCAGGGTCATAGAAACTAGTGAATACGGTAACGATCAGACACTAAATACTGTTGAGTATACTTAAACTTCATGCCTGGAAGGATCCAATGCTCATGATGAAGTATTCAACTGTGAACCCTTCAGCAGTAAGTAGATAAGAAATCATAAACATGAAGCTAGTAATACCTTAATCGATACGGGTTGTCGATACAATGGAAAATTCTATCATTCATTCATATTGCAGAAAAAATTTATACAACTACATAATATCATAACACTTAAGTCTCATATCTGCAATAGATTCATATAACCCATGAAAATTAGAATAATACTGCTCTGAAAGATTATGAACTAATTCCATTTAAAGAACCATTGGAAGTTAGGAAATAATAGACATCAGCTTCGTTCTAGTTTGCGATTCTGGAGCAGTATGCACACACACAACTCCACTGGTAATCGAAACACAGACCTTCAGGTTATGATGCGATGATACTAGCTGGTATTTGCGCTGTAAATAGCAAAATAGTAGAAGTTAGGATTTATGGACCATTCCATTCCGTCCTAGTGGCCAAACGGTCACGGGCTGACCTGAAAGCCCTGGCTGGCATCCTCGACGGTGTCAAGGGTGCCTATTGATGGAGAGTCCCAGAAAAGGACGAAACAGCTACCTAGTACTCTCTGAATTTGAGTCGTCCACTAATTGGTGTGAGCTTGTGATCATACTTGAAAACTGATGCTATTATATCAAACAAAAAGTAACAGATACTAATTAGAACCAAGAAATAACACAACAAAATGGATTATTCAAAGGTGAAAAAAAAAACAGAAAATCTACAGCTGAATGAATATACATGTTCTGTGAAGGTGATCTATTTTCTCTCATTACATCAGGACAAGCTGAATGCATTCGACATTTGTTAGATTATTTATATCTATGTGAATCGTTGTGCTTGAATCTAGTCTGCTTTATTTGAATCACCCCCGAATAACATGCTAAACAACTTCAGAACTTTACAAAAATCAATACTGGCTTATAAAAAAAACGGAAAACTCACTCTTGTACGTTGCATTTCAATTATCTTCGATGGAGCATCTAAATATATCAGAATAAAAGAAAGATGAATACTTTATAGAAGGAGAAAGAGATAGAGTCTTGAAATTCCCCTTGCAAAAAATTCCTCAAACAACAGTAGAATGCTGACAGGACTCTGAATTCTCTAAAGGCATTGAACAAAAGTTTGATTTAACAGTATACGACAGAACTAACAGAGTAAAGTCTCCTATTCTGTCTTATAGCTTGTTTGTAAAATGAATGTACAAAACACTTTGTATTTCCCGTTGATCGATTACATTGCACCGAAATTTTCAATCAGTATCGGCATGTTGACTCCTAATAAGAACGCTTCAATAGTGTCTGAAGACTAAGACGCTATCAATTGGTGGATGACGACTAGTAGTGGAATCCAAGATGCACACCGTCGAGGACTTCATATTAAGCGCCGACATGTCAAAAGAGACCAAACAATTCAATCCAACATAATTAATAAACAAGTAAGAACTGATACCTGTTGCATAGGAGGTGGTCCTCACAGTTGACGCTATGGTGTTTAAACAATGGGTGCTGGGTCCGAGTCCCGACGAAGACACCTCCACTCACTGGGAATTGTAAATGCATGGTAACTAACAAGTCTCAAATATTTTTACTAAATAAAGTAAAATTCAACTATTTTCGTGAAATGTTTGACACTGTGACTCCCTGAATAAGGCATTTCACTCTAAACCTATAGTTTCGAACTCCGCCTAACCAGATAATATTATGTTAGGTGACTGGTGGCCATAGGCAGGGAGCTCTGGACTTATTTTTCTTGCTTGTTGGTACTCGTCAGGAAGTTGTATCTGACGGAGATTCAATCAACGTAACCTAGTGCTACAATGAGAAACGTTACCGCTGTGCTACCGATAACCCTCCAGTAGGACTGTAAGAGATGTATTGATCACAGCTGTCGGTGGGAAGTCCTTGACCTAGCTCTCGTGTTTGTTGGCATTCGTCTGTAAAACGTGATACAGGTTCAAATCTGTGGTGAAAGGAAATCAGCCCCTTCAAGATTACACAGACACACTCTGATGATAAGTGCTGGCAGGCACGACACTTAGATCTATATCTTCCTGCCTCTACCCCTATCCTGTGTCACCCAGGGTGGTGACCACGCTGCAAACTTGACTGGTAGAATTCAGTTTACACCGACACAAAGAACTAGAAACATGATATCAATTACTTCCCAGTAACTAACCAAAGGTATATACTTATTCTATTTCACATCATGTCTTTTTCCACCTGACAACCCCAATAATCACACATTAAAGCTGGCGAATAAGACAATCTTCAAAATATAATGAAGCTTACTCATCATTGCTTTACTTTTATTTCAATTATAAAATTCTTTCTACTCCTTTGCATTCCAAGTGGAACAAGGATTGAGCTTTCAAGTTTTATTATCAACGCTGTTTATTTTTTACTGGGTGTAGTTGGCTAGCCATACGTCCCCTCTCCACAACCTTCCCTTTTTACTGGGCTTATTACCGGATATCTGAGGTTTAGAAGGGCACCAATCAGGGATCGAGCCCTAAGACCACGTGAGTGATTGGCAAGTATATCCTATCATTAAACCATTGACGTACATTACTCCTTAGTGAATTAATCACTTCAGAATATTACATCATTATGATAAGAAAAATCGAAACAAAAGAATAACAAAGCACAATTTTCAAGAACAAAACTATGACGCAATCGAATACTTTATTACTACCATCATTATTATTAACACTATTACGAAATTAATTTAAAATAATAATGAAATAAAATGACTACAGAGAAAAGATAATAATAATAGTAGATATCATATAAGAAGACAAATAATAATTACAAACACAATTTAAGCACTGAGAGGTTAAAAAACATAGAAAGAGATCATAGTTTAGCACTGAAAAACAGGAATACACACTGAAAAATAAAAAAGATAGTGGAAATCCAGGGAAACTGTGACAGTAACCACACATTCACACTGACAGACAAACGAGCAGGCGGGCGGGCGAGCGGGAGGGAGGGGGGGGCACGCGTACGCGCGTTAAAGTAGGAAAGTACGTTTACATCAAAATATCAAAATGCATATGCTTCTACGAATAGACGAAATACAATGGAACAAAAATAATAATAACAATAAATCAGTAAAATCAACAACAACAACAACAGATCTATAAAAATATGAATAAATTAATAAAATAATTAAAGCGAAGAAGAGTCAGCTAGCTAGCTAGCTGTTGATTAAATTCTCTGAAAGAAATATGAAGTAAATTTGATAAAACTATTGAAAAAACTGCCTGAAAAGAAATTAGGAGCTCCATTTAACCATCTGCCGCCAAATCTCTGACCGACGACTGACCAATTGTTTCGTAGGAAACTACGTCTCCATACCTCTAGAAAATACAAATAATAAAAAACCAGCAGATATATTAGCTATTACGGACTTTAGTTTCGTAAAATATGTCACAGAAAAAAGCTGACAATTTGGTGCTCGATATTGTGAATCAGTCCAAGAGGGACTTAGTTTCGAGTTGAACAAAGAGCTACAAAAGCACACCGCCGTTCCACTCAATTCTCTGCCATTAATATCAGTTTATCATAGTTCACGACTGCCCATAAGCTTTCATGATGCCCATATCTTCCTGGAACCCGCGGCCAACCTGTCACTTCCTATTAGGGGCCCACACTTGAAAGTATGTCTCTCCAGTTTAGGTTTAGTCTGTCTCTAATTTCTTCTGCATAATTTTGGGTAATAGATCCACTGGATTGCCAGTGTTCCCTGTTGCTTATCCATTCTGATCGGCCATCGAATTATTCAGTATCGACAGAATATATATATAACTTATGTATCATTCTGATACACATATGAACAACAGCCTGTGTTCAAAATGTCATAATTATTCTGTATTGACGAAAATAAAAAAGAACAATTCAGCGAAGAAAATCTTCTTCTGTATCGATGAGGTCATCTTCAAAAGGTTGTACCATCGAATATGGATTCACTAACACACGTAAAGAAGTTTACTATTGAGTAACAGGGAGGCCTGTGTGATAACTGATACATTTACTAGATCAAAAGTGGTTTCTAAGATATACATAAATTACGTAATCATTACTGATACAATAAAAGTAAGGGTTTGAAATTTGATAATATAAAAATTGCTATTATTAGATGCGAAGCATGGTTACTGAGTTTCCACTTGACAAGTTTGAAGAAGGTGAGAAGAAATCAAACGCTGCATGCATGAGTGACAATAGTGCATTACTCAAAAGAAATAGAAACAAACAAGTAGACATGTGTGTGTGTCTACATATTGGGAAAACAAAGAGGCAGGCTACAGCTTCGATTACCTGGACCTGTTTCAGAAAGTTTACGTCCCAAGAGAACAAAGGCTTTCATTGGTGGTATTGCCAGACATTTTCTTGATACAGATCATGATGTGGACATCGCAAGCAGGAATTAAGCTGGCATTCAAACCTACAAACTAACTCAAGTATGCTAAGCTCTGTAGGCTGAAGGACCTGGTGGACCCAATTAAACAAAATTATATAATTTACAAAATACCATGCAATGACTGTGAGTCAGATCGACCACATAGATCAAACCAGTAGATCAGGAGTAGTCAGATTGTCGGAACATAAGAATTTCGCCAAGGTTAGAGTGGTTAATCCCACAAAGATTCGAAATATAGAAAAAAAACTCAGCAATAGCACTACATGCATTAACACACAACCACACAATAGTAGGGTAGGTGGAACAGAGTCAAAACTCCAAAAAGTAATACAGATAGGTGGAGATAGAGAGAAATTGATTACTGAGTCCTCCCTGGCTCATCGAGTCTACAGCCAACACATGCAACAGAAATTATTCAAGGCGAAAAATACCAGAGATATGGAAGATATTATTACCAGTTGAACAAGATGATAATAAATAATGTTAAAATGTATTCAATTCATATTATAACATTCTAACAAGTTATTGATATAAGTATAAAACTTGGGCACTATGGTAGAGTATAACTCCATTATCAAAATAATATCATATCCATAATGGATTCTAACAAGTTACTGATTTCTACCGTAAAAGACATCTTATTTCCCATCTGATTGTATTTGATTGTTAACACGAATATTACTTCCGGATGTACTTGATCTTTTATTGATTTTATTTAAATGTCTAATCAATTTTACTCATATACATAAAATAAGACAAGAAAGTTGTGTGTATAGTGTCTTGATATGATTATGAGTGGCAATAAATTGTGCTCGAAACGTGGTCATCAGTAAATATTACTGTATAACACTGTGTGATTTAAACAAAATAAAATTTTATCCATAATGAAGTTATACTCTGCCAGAGTGCTCAAGTTTTATGCCGACATCAATAGGACATCGCAAGACGCTTCAAAATTATCAGTAGGCAAAATAACTCAATTCTTCTGAGGTTGGCCGAAGCAAACTCTATCAAACGCCTTGAAATTGAAGTCCCTGAGTACGTCAAAATTGTTTCTGTACATAAATTTAGTAATATTTTTCAGGTTGCAAACAGCTGATGAGAAGCCAACGAAATAAATGATGGTTCCATCTTATTTTTGCTTTATTCAAATTCATAAAGGGGAATAAATGTATGAAATTCGTGTACGCGTTGGAGGTGCCAGTAAGTTGTTAACATAACACCAAACTCTGTTTGAAAATAAAAGATTTGTCCAATAATTTATTCTACCATTAATTTTTAAAGTACTTTCTACTTATCTACTTTTATTTTGAGTAAGTATCACGCTAATAAACTCATCTAAGCTTTTTTTATTTTTAGAAGAAATCATATTTAATCTGAACTTACTCGCCTGAAACAACAATTTTTGTGTTTTCAGTTGAACTGGCTGATAAATCTTCAATTGGAGTTGTAGATTGCATACCTTTGATTAGTTAAACAATAACAGTTACACATAATTATGGATTATCGATGAACATATTAAATAAAAACAATAATATAGTGATAAAATCCACTGAACTACCAATTCTCGACCGATAGCTGCTACCTTGACGTGGTAGTCGGGCTTGCACATCGCGATGACCCAACAAGCTACACTGGCTGGAACTAATGTTCCTGTAGGTCCTACCATGCTAGGAAGGTTGTTAGGATAGCGATTAGACTAAAAGCAGTTACCAGAATAGTGTAAGAATCTTTCTTACACTATGCTGGGGGGTCTGTGGGCGAAGACGTACTGCTGGGGAACAGGGGTGTAACAGCAGTGAGGTGTTTCCCTCAGATGACCAGAATGCCAGCTATGCTGTCTCTCCACTCTGGAGAGAGGGGGTTAGAAAAGGTCGACCCCAAAAATTTTACATCCCGACTTACTCTACAGTGGTCCGTAACCGGCGGTAAGCTTACTAATACGGAGCCAAACCAAGAAACCAGTTCACACAGGCCGAGTGTGACTGGCCTCAAGCAGTTGACCCCTGGGCTCTGCGGTCACACAACACTAACCCTCTCTCTGTTTCAGGCATCCGAAGAATCAATCAACTACCACGGTGTGGTTAGCCGGGAAGTAACAACCGCCCAGAGACTTCCAAAAGCACACGAAGCCTTACTGAGCATCATTCTCCTCTACCCACATCACCTTCATCATCTTGCTTCTTTACTACAGTTAGTACTACACTTCAGGCTAGAGAGGCATCTTCACTCCACTCTGTGACCTCAAACAACGGTGATAGCCATAGAACCACCTCCCAGCAGCCTCTTAAAGCCATGTCACCAACTTCATATAGGAGCGTTTAACGTCAGGACCGTCTGCCGAATCGGACAACAGACAGAACTATCAATTTGTTCTTCAGTATATCTTCAGTGTATCTCCGAAAAAAGACACGAATCAGAAGTCAAATATTAACGTAACCAGAAACTGTTTACAAAAGTAGGGTAAACAAGATCTGTGGTTAACAAAACAGAGGAACTCCTGCCAACAATCAACCGACTGGCAAATATACACAAAGGACAAGATACAGTACTTTTTTATTCGTCCAGCACCGGAGCATACACTGACAAATAGCAACTTTACACTTCGATATTCTAGTTTGTCTGTAATTGTGTGCTTGGCATGCTGTAGATACTACAGCATAACAGAAAGAGTAAACTAGAAGTCTTCGTTATACTAAGTTATAAAGACCTCCACCCCAGTGAAACAGAAGATAGTTGAGATCGACATCTTCATTCAGAAAAGTTAGCACTGATAAAGGATTACGCTGGAGAAGAGTTATGGTTGGTCAAATCAACATATATGTCATCAATTAATGAAGTCTTTCACTATTGGTTTACGTCAGCCACCTATACCAACCGATTGGAGTGTTCGGGATGCTAAGAACCAAATGGTTAGATACTGTCTGTGATATGGCTCAAAATCGTTTTTTCCAGTGGCGCAGATGCATTCACTCTTTGTAATCGCCTACATACATTAAGTCTTCATGTGGTAACTTGAACTGCTGTACCTCTATGCAAAGTTCTATGTTGAAACTTAGTCAGTTAGTCAGTGTACATAGACATTTGCTATAAAGTTTCTCAAAGAAAGTGACAGCTGTAGTAACAAGACAATGAGTTGGAATATAAGAGTTAAAATTGTCCAAGTCATTAGAAAATGTTACTAGCGCAAAAAAAACTAGTTAGTTCAACTAATTCAATTAAATTCCAGATGATACATGAACACTGGTGGTTTAATAATTGATGATGTAATGAAATGAGAGTAAAAAAATGAAAATGACATCTAAGATTTAAATAAAAGACATAATTAAATAAAATTTAGATCACTCCATCTTGATAAGTTATTACTCTAGAATCAGTGTGCAGATCTACACATGCACTCAGCAAAAGGAATAAAGTCCAAATTTTCAGTACTAATGTTAAATCAATGAGTGCTTGCATGCGGTTTACAGACATGGTGCGTGCGTCACCAAGTAGACTTTCATGAAGAGCTGCTCAGTAGTGAAGATCAGATGGCCGATCAGGAAGGATGATCAACAAGGAACTTTACCAATGAACCAGTCAAGAACCTATCACCCAACAAATACGCAGAAGAAAAGGCAGATAAATTTGACATCTGCTGAGGAGACAGATATCCAAGTGACATCACATGCCGCCAGTCAAGCTCTCGAGTGGAACTCACATGCCAAACGACAAGTTTGGTATTGGCCGGTAACGTTAACACCATGTAGGTAAGAAATGAAAACTTGTAGGCAATAGGGAAACCAGCTAAAAATACATCAGACAACAGAGCCAAATGGAGACGTTTTGTTGATGCTTTATCTTTTACTCGGAATCTTATGGACGAATAATAAATACAGTAATCTCGTTAACCTGATTTTTTTAAAGTTACACTATATTAGTTTTGTTAATAATGAAATAATTTTGTGGCTGATGACTAGCAGTGGAATTCTGGACGCACATTTCGTCTGATTTGGAACTCGTCAGTGGATGTACTTGCATTCCCCAGTGAGTGAGTGAGTGAGTGAGTGAGTGAGTGAGTGAGTGAGTGAGTGAGTGAGTGAGTGAGTGAGTGATGGTGTTCCCACTGAGACTCGAACCCAGTACCCATCATTTCAAACGCCAAACCGTTATCCAATAGACCATTTCGACCACGAGAGCCACTTCTTGTGCAACGGGCATCAGTAATTATTTGTTTTTAATTCAATTTTGATTTTCCCGCTGATTGATTGCAACAAAGTGTTTGGCTTCTACTGATATATCGGCTCCTAGTACGGACGTTCCAACGATGCTTGGATTCCACTGTTAGTCATCAGACATATAATTACTTCAAGTTAATCCTTAGACATTGTCGAAGTCTCCGCGCTAGGAGCCAACATGTTAACAGAGACCATCGAACAATTTGGTTCAACCAATCAATCAACGGAAAAATCAAAATTGAATTAAAAATAAATAATGCTGAAGAGTCCCACACTAGGACGAAACAGCTGTTCAGTACTCCCACGTTTTCCAATGGTTTTCTAACTAATGTCATGATGGAATCCTGTAACCAATCAAATCCCTACAAACCAACACTTGAATATCAATGAGATGCTTACTAGCGACTGACCTTATTCAGGTAGGTAGTTACCTGGGGTTCTAGTGAGAAGTCGTGACCAGTGGGGTGCAGCAGGTCGGGTGTGAGGACAAATACTTGCAGAAAACATTGGCTGGGGATCGCGCTATGTAGTGAATTCGCAGAAGTTAGAATTCAAGGACCATTGGATCGGGTTCAGGTGGCTGAATGGTCTACAAGCTCGCCTTGTAACCAGAAGGCCCTGGGTTCGAATCCCGGTGGGTGCATACTGATGAAGAGTTCAGAACTAGGACGAAACAGCTGTCCAGTACTTTCAGGTCTCCAATGGTTCTCTAACTAATGTCAGCTCATGATGAAATCCTGTAACCAATCAAACCCCTACAAACCAACGCTTAAATAATGCATATACAAATGTTTAACTTATATAGACGTATTCCAAGACATATCTTTGAAATATATCATTACTATAACAAAATGAGTACTTACTTATGTTGTCAGCTTTACTTGGCTGAAAACAAACAAAAGAACAGAAACAAAATATAAATTATGTGTTGATAAAAAGCTGTCCAATCGCATGAAACTATATACTATTGATTGATTGATATGAGTAGTTGGATACTACTCACATCAACCAGTACTGTTCGCTAGCGATGTGAACAGCAGACAGTGGCTTTCTTCGTTTTAAAGCTGAGCTCATTATCAAAAAAGCGCTTGGTTTGACTCAGCTTAGAGAGTCGAATCAGTTTAAACCGGTCTATTTCCGGCTATCTACTTGTGCGAAATGATAACTCCATTAATCATATTCACAATCTGAAAATAAATTTGCAATCTGCCCAGTCTGACGAGGTGAAATTTGACCACAGTTTTCTTTGGAAACCTAAATTATTCCGATCACCACAATATTTGGTTACAGGATTTCATCGTGAGTTGACATGGGTTAGAGAAACATTGGTAAACTTGGGAGTACTGGACAGCTGGTTCTTCCTATTTTGGGACCCCCTTCAGCAGCAGTGGTCGCAGAAGTTGGAATTTATGAACTGGCCATTGGATCGGGTCCTAGTAGCTTAATGATCTACGAGCTTGCTGGCCATGCAACCAGAAGATTCTGGGTTCAAGTCCCGGTGGATGCGTACTGATGAAGAGCTCCAAACTAGGAAGAAACAGCTGTCCAGTACTCCCAACTGGTTTTCCAATGGTTCTCTGACCAATGTCTGCTCACGATGAAATCCTGTAACCGATCAACCTAATCCCTACAAAGCAATACCTGCACCCCAGAATATTTGTTATCTACTTATTAGGATGGGGCGTCGGTGGTATAGCGGTTAGGATGCTCGCCAACCATGCGCATGGTCCGGGGTTCGATTCTTGGCTGAGGCACTCCTTTACCTCACTAAACCAGAAATAATCCTGGTAAAGAGGAAAGGTTGGGCATGAGGCTAGCGCCCCCATCCTGTAAAATAAACACTGCTACAGAAGCTTCAAGCCACTAGCTTGAGGCCCTATGCTCCACTGGGGAATGTGAAGGAAAAAAACTTAATAGGATTAGTGGTTATCGTGAACGCAAGCATAATTGCATCTCTAAAGCTACAGAATATTCATACGACTGACTACAGGATAATCAAGAGAAATGATTAAAACACTTTAATACATAATTAATTGAACAAACTAACCTGAACATGAGAATCCAACTTCAGGTATTTAAGACCTCGTTCAGTAATATAATCTGGTTGGCTAGAAGACCAATTCATATAACTGCATAAACCAGATGTTGATGTCTCTTTATCTAGATATAATAATGGAGTAAAATCAGTAAGTGACGTACGTAATAAGGCTAATTCATCAGCTTCAAGTTTACTAGTATCAAGATTATTTTTATATAAAGTTTTAGGCGGAACTTGACCACTCTCCAGCGGAGATGAATGCTCACAAGGCGGGATATCGTCATCGAAATTTCTACACAATGACATTGAAGATAAACGACGATAAAGTCTATAACTTATTGCTTCAGCAGAATCCAATGAAGTTGAAATGAAACTAGTTGGTAGCCAAGCAGGAATACGTGTTAAGTATTCAGTCTGAAATTAAAAGAAAATAGGAGAAAAAAGTGAGGTTAACAAAGAGTATGCTTTTAGAAATCTGAAGTAAACTTCGAAGACATTAAGTGAATAGCTGTTTGTTCAGAAGTAATTACTGTTGTAGTGTGGATGTAATGAACTAGAAAAAAAAACGCCAGAGTTTGCCCAATCTTATTTAGGGAAGCCAAATTATGTTTGGTAAATGAGACGTTACAAAAGATTAGCAACAGGTATTCCCCATTCTTATTTAACGAAGTAATTTGAATAAAAACAATATAGCTACATATGAGGTTGCAGCATTCAGATAATGAATAAAACAACAGTTAACTAAGATGTATATTAAATGAATTCCTACTACGTATTATATGCTTCCTGACGGTAGCTGTTACCTTGACGAGGTGCCCCGTCTTGCATATCACAATGACCCAACGAGCGACACTGGTTGAAACTAATGTTCCTGCTGGTCGCACCATATCAGAAAGGTTGTTGCGATAGCAGCTACCATCAGTATGTCAAGGGTCTTGTGGTCGAAGTCGCACTTCCCTGGAATAGAGATGCAACAGTAATAAAGTGTTACCTTCAGATGGCTAGGTATACCAAGTGTGCTACTTAACCGCTCGGGTGAAGAGAGGGGTTAGAAAAAGTCAACCCCGATAACTGTACGTCCCGGATCACCTTACGGCAGTCCATAGCCGGCAATAAGATGTCAATAAGGACACAACTCCGAAAAACCTTATACAGAGTCTGTGTGTGACCAGCCTCAAGCCGTTGTTCCCTAGCTAGGCTCTGTGATCACGCGACATTAATGATGTTGATGCTTCATAATTGCCGCGTATCGACTCCGAGTTTAAAGTTAGGGGGTGAAGTGGTAGAGCATCAGACCCAATGGACTGATTGCTAACGACATCCTAGCACAGATACAAAAGGCTCGTGTGGAATTTGTTAACTTAATTCATTTCTAGTGTAGACGTGATATTCAGCTGGCTATCGATCAGGACACGTATGTAATGCGCAGCAGTTCGCTCCACCCTCTTTTGTGGCTAGGAGGCAGAGCTGTCTTTGCCCACGGGTGTTCGCTTTTTATCTTCCGTGTAAGACAGTATAAGACAGTGGGTAATATTGAGGTTAGGTATAGGAGTGTTAGATAAGAATGTTAAGTCAGTCGATGAGGCTGTAGAGCTACACAGAGTGAGATGGCTAGGACACGTGTTGCACGTCCTAGGTCATTACCTCTTTCGACGACCTCTGTTAGCTGACATACGATTAGATTGGAAAAGGAGTTAGTGAAGGTCGAATCAAACCCTAGCATCAACCCATGAAGTCTTTGACTGTTGGTTTGAGCCATGTAGGAAAGTGTAGACTACCCGGTTGGGGTCCTTTAAATAATAATAAACCAATAGTTGGAGATTGTTAGTGATATGACCCAAAATCGTTCTCAATGGTGCAGATACATTCACTAACTGTGACCTCTCATATCCACTAAACCGTCGTGTTTCTTCCTGTTACTATTCCTGTTATCGTACATTTCTCCTCATCATAGATCTTTGAATCCCCCCCCTTATTTATATCTTTATGTGTTATATGAAGCGCGACAACTCAAACTGCTGTACTACTGTGCAAAGTCCTACGCTGAAACTCAATCAGCCAATATTCATCCAAATGACTATTACTTAGAGTCAGGAGTTAGAGTTCGGCTTAGGTGGATTCGAGTTATCTTAAGGTTAAGGTTAGAAATTATTGATTATGGTCTAGTTTAAGACATTATGGGGAAAAACATCTTTTCCCTAAAACATGAACAGTATCCATTGCTAATAGATAATTCCACTTTCTGTTTTCCCATCCAAATCTGCCTTATTAATGCAGTCGGTCAATTCAAAGTCATTGATGCTCTCGTTCTCTAGGAGTCTTAAGATTCAACCTCACCAGAAACATATCGATTGCCCACGTCCCAGTGGCTGAATGTCCAACGGACTTGCCTCAAGCTACGACCTGAAGGTCCTAGGTTCGATCCCTGACATGGTCATGGATGCGTACTGTTGAAAGTACTAAACTAGTGGGAAACCACTGTTCAACACTATTTAGGTTACGTGAGTCTTTGGTCCGGTGGTAGAATGCTCTCCAATCGTTGACATGCTCCACGTTGGATACCTGACTAACGAACTCCTAGACTTCACTAAGGTTATAGTAAGCCTAGAAAAGAAAGAAGGATAGAATTGAGGCTAGTAACACCACCCCATGTAAACACCAAAGCAGTACTAGTGAAACATGAAAGCATGACGTTTTATGTTCCACTGGAAGCGTAAGGAATGAAACAAGAAAGAAATAATATTGACTGATGAACAAATCTACTATTTACATTATGACTCTTAAAAAGTCCTCGCAAAATATCGATTGATTTAGAAGGAAGAGGCAACAAAAACAAAAACAGAATACATACGTCTTACATAGCAACTGAGTAGAAGATGCCTTACCTCAAGCCAACTTGGTTTAGTATTTTCAGAATCTGAAACACTTAAATCTTCATCAGATCCATTCCGAATAAGACGTATAGCTGGCATATCATTTTTACTTGTCAGTGATGGTATTTCTTCATGTGGACTAAGATCTTTAATGTCTGATAGAGTAAAACGTCGTGAAGACTTGAAATTTTCCATTTTGTTTGCAACCTGAAGATAATTTTTTAAAAAAAAGGAAACATCATAAATCACTCGGAAGTTACACTTGATAATGCTTCTTCACCTTTCTAAAAGTGAATTTACAAGTAGTAATTGGGGATAAAGGTGATGCACATACCCAACCAACGACAGCGAACAGCAATCAGTCACCAGTAACGAGTGAAATCTACTTACCAAGACAGTATTGTTTCAATTACAGCTGGCACAGATGAGGATGTCAATGCTAGTCATGATCGAAAAAGCAAGATAGAAGACCTTCATTACCATGAAATCAGTGTGGATATCTCTGCTGCACTCAGCATAAAGAACAGAAATCGGATCTTCAGCACCAATGTCAAGTCACTATTTCTATATGGTTTAGAAACTTGGCTGGTGCAATCACGAAAAGCATTTCCAACAGGTTTCAGACACTTTATCCACACTTTCCTTCGTTCAACACTGAAGATCGGAAGGCTGAGGAGAAAGGCTAAGCAATATAGAACTCTGGTAACACAATAAATATGCTTGATAAAATGGAGATGAATTGCATATATGCTGAGAAGACCGTTGAGTAATAATCACGCACCATATTGAGAGGGGTAATCTTCCTGATTAGTTGAGTTCCTTGGGATGGTAAAACCAATGAAAGCTGTAGACAATTGGTGATATGGCTCATACTCATCGTTCGCAATGGCTAACGAACATGCATTCACTCCTCTTTGTGATTTGTCGTATCCAATAAAATTATACCTTCCTTCCATATTGCTATTCTTTTGGCGTAATATTTCTGTTGATTATGTATCTCTCCTCTGAATCTCTCTTTACTCTCTTATCTTGCTTTGTGTGCTACATGGAGTTTGGCAACTCGAACTGCTGTACATCTTTGCAAAGTCCTACGTTGAAACCAGTCAGTCAATCAGTCACGCACAAATTTGGCACCCGAACGGGACGCAAATGGTAAACGACGAGTTGGTCGTGTGTCCAAGAATAACATAGAAGGGGTCGTGTGAAGAGGAAATGCAAACTTATGGGCATTTATGGAGCCAGATAAATAGGACCACAAAGAAGAGAACGAAGTGGTTATGTGCTTCTGAAGCCTAATGTTCCACTCGAAACCCTAGGGAATAATAATAATAATATTTTTAGGTTATACAAAAACTAGATCTCTTATTTAGTTTATGGTAGGAGTTCAATTCAATATCATTAGCTCTCAGTACATATAAGGTATTCTCAGGAAAAACAGAAGACCACAAGCACATTTTCGGGCTAGTATTTTGGAGGCTCGGAGGTTCGAATTCAGTCAAGAACCAGATTTTCTTTTCACCTCCAATCATCATCACCGACGACAACAACTCACAAACTAGAATGCTACCGCACAGAAACGCATTAAATGATTTTCAAGTACTTAAGCACTATACTACTACTCTAAACACAGACTAATATCAAAAAGTCAAGGTACGATAGTCAATTGTAGTGCTTCTAACAGCAACGTCTTAAACCGCCGAGTTGCATGACTTCTTATCCAAGAAACTGACAGACAGGAATAAATTCTAGCGCAGTACAGCCACCTACATCAAATGTCAACTGATTGTTCCATATTAGTTTGTTTATTAGATGTATCACACAGTGAAACAGTATTATTTACTGGATGACGAGGTTTCGAACACAATTTATTCCTGTTCATAATCATATCAGTTAGAATCACACGGCTTTGAAACTTGAGTTTTATAGTTTTCTTTGTCTTCTCCTATTTGTCGTCGTAGGGGTAGTAGAATTTTCCAGATATCCACCTGGACAGGTGTTGAATCATGTATTTGCAGTTGATTCGATGAACAAAGCTTCTGTTATCAATCTCTCCCTCCACCCAGCTGTTACATTAGATTTTAAAACTGTCATCCTACCCCATCCATCCTATTGTGTGGTTGTGTGTAACTGCATGTAGTGAGTGGTATAGCTGAACTATTCTCTACATTTTTTTATCTTATTCACGTCAACTAATCTAGATTTTGCTAGGTTTTTATGTTTCGCTAGTCTGACTGCCCCTGTTCTACTAGTTTGACCTATGTAATTGACCTGGCAATAATTGTAGGCAGGGTATTAGATAAACTAAATTGTCAACTGATTGTCTCTTTAAAATATCCAATAGAATAAATTACCAATACAGAATAGTTAATAAAAGAGTTCAACTAAGGGGAACGGACAAACACACCAATGACGTTGAAACGTACTAGTAGGTCTAAGATAATATATTCGTAGAAAAATTATGAAAGAAGTGTAAGAATACTAAACGAGATATCTGGTTACTTTAGGATTAGGTTAGGGGGAACTTAGAGTCTGGTTAGTGTTGGTTTGAGGTTAGATTACGGGAGAATTAGGGTTGTTTAGGGATATATTAGAGTCAAGTTAAGGAAGGATAAGGGTTACGATTAGGTAAGGAGACTTGGCGCGTCATAAAGAGCATCTCAGACAAACTTCAGACCTTCATTAACAGTTTTCTTCGCTCAATACTCAAGATCAGATGGCCAGAAAAGATCAGCAACAGGGATCTCTGGGAGCGAACCAATCAGGAACCGATTGTGAAACAAATAGGCAGAAAGAAATGGAGATGGATCGGCTGACCATACTCTGAGGAAACCATCAAGTGACATCACTAGACAAGCCATCGCTCGAGTAGAGCCCGAAAGAGAAGTGGCGAGTTGGTCGTCAATGCAAGGGTGACTTGGAGGAGGTCATGTGGAGAGGAGATGAAAGCATGTGGGCAGACTTGGAGCGGAGTGAAAAAGTTAGCAGAAAACCGAAGGCAATGGAGGTGCGCAGCTGAATCCCTATGTTCCTCTAGGAACTAAAGGATATAATAATAAATAATAATAAGGGATACATTAGAATTAAGTTCAGGGTCAAATTAGAGGAATATTAGGACTAGGGTTCATTTAGAGATTCCAATTCGCCTTTTAAAAGTGACTGATCGTTCCAAAGTCATTGATGAGTTCGTTCGCTTGGGTCGCTATCCTCTACCTGTGTCAGAGTTTCTACAACACCATCCATAAAAGATACTTGCATGAATTACATCCACAGATTTCAAACTCACTCGTTAACCTGGAAACAAGGTAGGAGAAAATCATTGAATGTAAATAGATGAAAAATAATGCATAAATTTAATGTAATGTACTAAGCCTCAACTTACTCCTTTGATAACTGAATTTCGGCCATGAATCATACTTGCAACACGTCTATTTTGACGTGATTTTAACCAGACTAGTTTAGGTAGCGGTGTCTGTGTCCCGACAGCATACTTCGTTGTATGCGAAGTATTACCAATCTCTCGTAAAATACTTGTCCATAAACAATTTAATAGATCAAGTGATGGACTTTCATCATGATTAAGGGAGCTTTGTCGACAGGACCGAAGAAATTCACATCGTTCTCGTGGACGTAAAGGAATAAGCCAATTTTGTAAGGAAAGAACAACATCCTTGGAAACAAACTCAAATGTATCTTTAGTCTGATCCTGTGCTTTCAATGAACACTGAAGAACAATAATTAATACACAAGAAATTCAAGAAATACAAAAGAAATTTTACAGTAGTGTTGAACGATACTAGTGGGTGTTCAATTTTAATATTTTAAAGGTTTATGAGTAAAAATGTCAACTCCATATAGCCTCGGAGAAGTAATTACTGTATACAAATAATACAATGGTCTTTATTGCTCTAAATTTTGAAATATAAACCAATTTCGAATCTCTGATTAAAAAAAATACCAGTGAGTCTTATCAAATATTAACCCGTTGGTTTTCAAGGTCTCCCGACGACTATATTCCCAACAATCTTGGTGCCAACTAACAAAGACTCTGGGGGGAGAGTTTTATACTTCCATACATCAAGGGACAATATTTTGATATCAAAAGAATCCTAACTGACCAATTCACATATTACAGTGGTTGGATGATCAGCGTACTTGTCTGGCAATATGCGAAGGTACAGAGTTCGATCCCTGGTGAAGTCATGAGTGCGTAGTGCTGGGGGAGTCAATCCCAATTTAGGACGAAACGCCTGTCCAATGCACCTCAGTTTTCTGTGAGGATATGACCTAATAGCTTAAGCACTTAGCTTATAGCCAATGGGTCGCAGGTTCGACTCCCACTCCGTTTACTTCAGCCTGGGCAACTGGATAGTATTATTTGTAGCCCAGTACATGACGGATCCATTCTGGGGAATTGAGTCCAAACTAATACAATCAACAACATCCAATACCACCAACAGAGTCAACTGATTACAACATTTCAGTAGCAAAAAGAGAAAATATGAAATAGAAATATCCCGTAAAAGTATATTATTTACATGAATACGGAATTCATGAAGAACAGAGGTAAAGACAACAAACAGGAAAACAGATATCAACTATGACCAAAACAACAAGGGAGGAGATAATACAAATTTAAGTTATCAATACCTCGACAACTGTAATCCAAGCAAAAATCTAATGGCTTTTAAATTAATCAATTGAGTAAAGGAAGCCAATAATGAATCCTTACGGAAGAACAAATAAGAAATATCGAGGTAATGATTTATAGGGATTTGACTGACCTGAAGTTATACTTTTTTTTTAATGAAATCAGTTAGAGAAGTACTGAAAACAAGGGATTACTACTGGATGGCTGTTTTATCCTAGTTCAAGACTCGTCAACAAAAGAAAACCATGATCCCACCAGGATTCGAACATAAGACCTTTAACTGACGTCAGAAAGTAATTTGACTCAATATCAGTCAAATCGCTACAAATCAACACTTCGGAAATTAATTTACTGTACTATCTAGCTTTATTTATTGTGTCGTATAAAATCAAAAGTAAATTCTTCGTTTGATAGTCTTCAATGTGACTGTAGAAACGCTTAACTAGCGCAACAAAATAATTCGTCGTTGGTGCAGCGGTAGAATGTTCGCCAACCATGAACGTGTTCTGGGGTTCGATTCCCAGCCGGTGCACACCCTTACCTACCGTAGAAGGCTGTGAAACCGACAAAGAAGGAAGGTTGAGTGTGAGGCTAGCAACCCCATCCCATAGAAAACACCACTGCGATTGAGACTTCAAAGCTGAAGCTTGAAGCCCACTCGGGTTCCACTCGGAACAAGACATATAAGCGAACAATATTGTTTTCAATTAGATCTTCTTCAGGCTTTACTCCACTCGGAAGACAAAAGGAAGGAAGACTTTTTAAAAACAAAGTTATTCCACCATCAAGTCTAGTGTTAAACTAAAACACAATGAACAACAATCAACCAGACAATTAAAAAGAGACGACGTAACACGTAAGCACTTATTTTTTATTCTTTTTTGTTTGAGTGGAACATAGGCTAGCAAACTTAGAAGTTCAATTATCTTCGATGTTGTTTTTAACGAAAATGATGAGACTACCAGCCTCACACCCAACCTTCCCTCTTTTCTAGGCTTACTACCGGTTAGTAAACCAGGCCAGGAGTGTGTCAGTCGGGAATCGAACCCAGGACCACGGACGTGGTTGGAAGATATGCCTCCACCGAACCGTCGGCACATTGCATGTAAGCATATCTTCCATGATGTCGGTAACAGAAATAAATATGCCTAGCAAGATACCTGATAGATGACCAGTAAAATCAGGTAATTGTGATGTTGTCTAATTGTATCTCTCTGTATACAAATTAAAAAAATCTAAGGGTGAATATTACCAATGATTGATTTTAGTGTGTTTGACCAAAAACAGAATATATGAGAGAAGCGGTCACCTTAATCTGGTCAGCATATACTCATGGCTGGTATGAATGATTTCCAATTAGCCCATGCCAATCAGTAGTATGTACCATCGCTAATGGAATGAGAATTCATTGGTAGATTTCCTGTAGAAATGCCTTTAGAAATCACACAGACTATCTAACACATTAAGAAGCCTTGTGTGCAGTTAAGAGGGATTACGGCAAGTGAGATTGCTGATAGACAAATAAAAAAATGCCAAAATCCTCTTAGGACATTTGAAATAGATAGACAAAACACTGATGTCTACATAACTCGTACCAAAATCAACAGTGAATTTTAATGTCGTTGCGTTCTCTGAGCTGGATGGTTTATATGCAAGGCTTTCATTACCCTACTAGGCAACATCTTCAGCGCATAACTGAATTCGAAGTATACTCGCGAACATCAAAACCATCCATCTGAGCTATAAATCTTCTCCTTCATATCTAGACAGTGAATTTATTTTATTTTTTTTTTTATTATTGATTACAGCTTGATTCCACACTGTATTTTTGGTACAGGTATGGAATTTTCAGCATGGATATCGGTAGCCCAAATTTTGCAGGTCGACCATAGATATCAGGTGTGCGTCGGCAGGGGATCGAACCTCGGACTATGTGCATGGTCGGCGAGAGTCCTAACCATTGTGTCACCGACGTAGAATGTATGCTCCGTATCAATAATGTTTCAATAGCTATACAAATAGTATAAAATAACTTAGAAACAGAGCACATGTGCTGCTTTTACTAGTACGAATCTATCTATTGTATTTGTCGGCATTCACTTCCTACTCAAAATATAGTGAGATATGGGTAGGTAGTGAGTAACAGTTGAACCCAGGATGCGTGTTCCAACCTTCCTGGGAGTCATCATCTGGATATGCTAACATCACAGTCAGTGATGATATTACCACTGAGATTCACATCTAAATCAAGGGCACCATCGAGACGTTCATTCTAAGGACCCATACGCCAACACAGATGAGTCATTTTAGTTTAGTAAAAATAAATACCAGGCATCTGCGTCACAATGGTAAAATGCTCGCCAGCTAGGCAGGTGGCACGGGTTCAATTCCTAGATGAATTACACGGGTTCCTCACTTACTTTACTAGCCTGTTGTAAGCCTGAAAAAGGGGAGAAGGATTGGCTTGAAGCTTACAACCTCACCCAACGAGATCAACAACCACCACTACTGAAACCTTGAAATTTTGAAGCCCTGTAACCCACTCGGAACTCCAGGAATGAAAAGAAACAGACAAGTTATTAAGTTTTAATAAATAATAACTAATTTTGTTCCAATTGAATGCTTTGCCTTAAATCTTTGAACGGATAATCTTATGAAGAGACGTCAACGTGTAATTAGAGGTTTCACTGAAAAAGCGAAATTAAATATCCGGCAACTCCTTCCAAACTTTTCATACGCATTACACCGCTTTAATTACACATCACACACTAAAGCATGATTGGTGTACTAGTTTCACGACTACTATTTTCTTTAAGGTATTTAAGTTGTTTTTTCAAGTATTGGTTTTTGTAGGGATTTTGTTTGATTGATTGGAGAGTTTCATTATGAGACGACACCAGTTAGACAACCATTGGAAAACCAGCTGGGAGTATACTGGACAGCTGTTTCACCCTATTTCGGGACTCTTCATCAATACGCATTAACCACCAGGGTTAGAACCCAGGATCTTCTGGTTACAAGGCGAGCTAGCTCGTAGACCACTAAGCAGCCACTGGGACCCTATCTAATGCCCAACCCATGAATTCCAACTTCTGCCAATTCATGACATGGCACAACCACTTCGCAATGTCTTTTTCGATGAGCTAAAGCCTCACCTTTAAGCAACTGTAGCCTACTGGTCACGGCTTCCCACTAAAAAGACAGGTCATTGCCTGTATAGGGCCAGTCGCTAGTGAGCATCAGATCAATTTTCAAGTATTGGTTGTTGTCTGGAAGGTACGAAAATGACCGATGTCGTTAAACCATGTACGTACCTACAGGCCTGACATCGAAATATACTTGTTAAGATTGACAATACTCTTTAGCTAACCAAAAACCAGAAATCGAATTAGAGTTCAAATCTTTGATCAACTACCTGAGTGCTTAAATTAATCTTCGTCAGCTCCAGCAAAATAAATAAAAATAAAAAAAACAGCTATCGACCACCTTACTGAGTTACAACGTAGAACTTTGCATAGAAGTGCAGACAAAAGTATCAAACAAAGGTAAACAAAAAGAAAGAGAAACTCAAGAGAAGTTTAATGAGGAGAATCGTAAGGCGGAAATAAATAGTAACTTCAAAAACCATGACTAACTTAATAGATCTTGGACATTACAATGAGTGAATAGTGAACCTTGTCGTTGGGAACGATCCTGAGGGATATCATCAACAGTCTCCAGCCACTGATTCTTCGTGTCCTGAGGAGCCCAACCAGACAGATTGCGTCCCCTACATAGCTCGAATCAACAGTCAAAAATTCCACGGGTCGATGCTAGGTTTTGATTATACCGCCTCTGACTCTTTTCCAACCTAATCCTAAGTGTAGCACATACTTCAGCCATCTGAATAGATGTTGCTTCACAAGCTTATCAAATGACTTTCTCTCCTTACTCAACACTACGCCTAATCTTAACAATAATCAACATATTACACCACTTAATACGACAGAGAACACAAATATTTGTACAGCGGCTTATCGCAAGAACCATAACTATACTTTAACAATAAGTACAGGTGAAAATCTATACAAATCATACCGGCTGAATGTTAATTTGTGTAGGTCAAACTTTTAAACTCACTACTTTTGTTAGATACTATGGTCTTCACCAATAAATATAGCTATGCTATTGATTCGTTCGATACCTGACAATCGTATAATTAAACATGTAGTTAATGAAGTACAATAATTATGAAGGAGGTCTAAGTGAGTCATATTCAAAAGTGAAATTGATTTTAAGAGTCACCTGCAACTTCATGTACACTGTCTACAAATAACAAATTTATATGTTTACATACTTTGGATGTGCGTCGGTGTAATAAAGGTAGAATGCTCACCAGTTACGCAGAAGATCTGGGTTCCATTCACAGCCGATGCATTCCAAAACCTCATCTGCTTTACTAGTCAATAATAAGCCCGGAAAAAAAGGGAGAAGGTTAGGCAACAACACCACTGCTACTGAAACTTCAATTGGTTTGAAGTCTTAGGTTTCATTCGGGAAGCAAAACTCGAGTAAATCAATTAGAATGAACGGTCACAAAATTTGTGGCAATACTTTCAATGTATACACTACTAGCTCTATCATGTATAATACTTTTACTTTCTAATCTTTAACGTCCTTCTTCTTTATGCGTACTGAGAAAAACCAGGGTTTACCGACAACGTGGAACTATGGTCGAGGATCTCGGCTTCCAACCAGTGGATCACAGATTCAAACCACGCTTCACGCATCAAGGTTTGGGCAGCTTTGAGTAGTATAATTAGCCCACACACAATAGGTGTGGCTCACAGCCCACTGCATGGAGTTTGTAAGTGATTGTAGAGTTTGTTTAGCCTTTCGGCGCGATACGATATTTAGACAAAAGTTCTGTTTTTTTTTATTGAAAAATTTATTCCAATGCGACATGTCTATATACATACAACCACACACTGTGCAGTCACAAAAATGGAAGCAACCAATTTAACTGTTCATAAAAGAAAACAATGCAGATTCACAATGACAAATTATATCCTTCACTGTTGTTTCCAAGTGTTCATCGTTACTCCTCTGAAAATTAGCAACTTCAAAATTTCATTAGTTTACAAAACTCGAAAACTATGGGTGACTCTAAACTATGGCAACAAATCTCTATAGAGTAATCAAACGCGTCCTCAGCAGAAGTGCGTAATTTCAAAAAAAAGCCTAACTATAAGTAATGTAACGTTGAAAAATAGTTCCACAGAATAATGCTCTTGTATGTGTTCGAAGAAAACCACGCAACATCTCATAGGAGTCCCCATAGTTACGTTAAACCAATTTAGGTGCACAAATTCGTCAAGATGAAAAACTTCGACCGGAACAAGCTGGATTCAAGAGAAACAAGTCATGTATTGATCAAATCGCCTCTCTACGGACCATCATTGAACAAAGCTTGGAATGGCATTCAGTCACCTCTCTATCTCAACTTCATCGATTTTGAAAACACCTTCGACAGCGTCGATCGAGAGGTGATTTGGCGACTACGTTACTATTACCAAAGGGTGCCACCGACAATTATACATCTCATCCAACAGTTATACGACAATGCTGCATGCCAAGTAATCCACAACCGGAAACTCACAGAATCCTTCGAGGTGAAGGTGGGAGTAAAACAAGCTGGCTGTCTACTATCTCCAATGATTTTCCTGATTGTGGTAGACTGGATAATGCGACAGACGGTGGCGGGCAATGAGGAGGCAGGCATACAACGAACCCACACAAAAGACTTGAAAGATCTGGATTTCGCCGATGATCTGTCTGATTTCTCGCAAAGTGGAAGATATGCAAGTGAAAAGCAACAGGCTGGAAGAAGAAGCATCAAAGATAGGAGGGACTTCAAGTGAACATAGAGAAAACAGAGGTGATGAAGATTCCTGGCCAACAGCAACAACAACAGACAACAATCAGCCAGCATAAATGGGAGAAATCTGAAAGAAACAACCTCCTTTACCTACCTGGGAAGCATCGTTTCAACTGACGAAGGAACTGACGAGGATATCAAAGCAAGAATCGGAAAAGCAAGACAAGCTTTTATTACTCTCAAGTTTGTGTGGAGATCAACAGAACTCAGCATCAAAAATAACATCCGGAGTTTTAACTCCAATGTGAAGTCAGTGCTACGTTCTATACGGATCAGAGACTTGGTGCGTCATGAAGAGCACCTCAAACAAACTACAGACCTTCATTAACAACTGTCTTCGCTCAATACTCAAGATCAGATGGCCGGCTAGAAAAGTTCAGCAACAGGGTTCTCAGGCAATAAGCGAACCAACCTAGCAGGAACCGAATGCGCAACAAATGAGCAGGAAGAAATGGAGGTGAATTGGCCATACTCTGAGGAAACCACCAAGTTAGATCACTAGACAGGCCATCACTCGAGTGGAACCTGAACGGGAAGTGGCGAGTTGGTTGTCAGTGCGAGGCTGAAATGGAGGACGTGATGTAAAGTAGAGATGAAGAAAGCATGTGGACAGACGTGAAGCCAGGTGAAAACGTTGGCAGAGAACCGAACGCAATGAAGACGTGAGGCTGAGGCCCTATGTTCCTCTAGGAATTCAAGGAAATAATAATAATTGTGTTTCTTGATTCATTCACCGCTCTGACCCTATGTTTTACGTGACTCTAGAAACTTTCGATGCAATTTGTGTAGGTCTCATCGAAAGAACTGACGAAATCAATCGATTTTATGGACCACGTTATGAATATAGTTCATGGATGACAGTTGGCTACACATTTTCTGCCTTTCAATGAGCCTGTTGTCTAAGCAGTACTTAGAAACAAATACTAGATTTGGATGAAATTTGGTACATAATTCGTGTACAGCAACCATGATTCCGCCCATATACTCCAGACTCCTCTGACTAGTTGTTCATGGTCATGAGTCAGTCCATTAAGTATTTTCGTTTTCGGCTGTTATAGTTTAGAGTCACTGAACTATTTCGTTCATATCCCATAATAATTGGATTAAATTCACAATTTAAAAGTTAATTCATGACTTTCAATTCAAACAATTTGAGGAGTGAAATTTCACCACACTCTCCTTTGGAAACCGACACTGATCAGATCCCCAGAATGTGTTATCTACTTTATAGGATACACGGTAATGAAGAAAGGCATAACTGCATGGTGCTATAATATACTCCTGATTGACTGACATGAATAGTTGGACGTAAGTAAATGTTAATACGTAGCTCATTGGCTTAAGTACTCGACTTCCAACCAATAGGGTTCGAATCTAATTCTACACTTAATTCAACTTGTACAAATGGGTGGTATCATCAGCCCTTACATAATAATTGTGTGGTTGAAAGCCTGGTAAAAGAAACACATGTCCCAGGCATTTGACTTCAAACAGCAGCACATTTTAAGTCCCCAATAATGATAACACTAAAACACATTCTTTAGTATCAATGTAGACTTCACCAGGAACTAACTCAGCTAGAGATCATTGAAAACCAGTGAGCACTAGGCGGCTGTTTCGTCTTAGTTTTGAGCTCTTCAACGGTGAGTATACACTACCCAGGACCTTCAGGATAAAAGACCAAGCTCACTGACTATTTAGCCTTTTAGGCAGGAATTCAATGACCTGTGAATTCTAACTTTATAAAATTGTGAGCTTGATCTCGTAACCTGAAGGTCTCGGGTTCCATTCCCGATGGGGCCGTCAGTGCGCACTGCTGATGAAATGTTCTAAAATAGGACGAAACAGTTGTACAGTGCTCCGTGATTTTCAGTTGTCTCTGACTTACGCTGGTTTGTGACGAAATGTACACTGAAATTAATCCAGGTCTCTAAAGCAACCACAACTTAAAAATCCCTTAGCGGTTTAGTTTATACGATCAATATCAAAGTGCTTTTTATCAAATAACCAAAAGTTACACTAATCCGTCCAACTTAAAAACAAACGCTGAATAGACAGATTGCATAAAGCAATACACAACTACATTTAGCTCCGCACACTATTTTATACTTTCTGTCGATTTTTGAAGTCATTGTTTTTTCAACTCCTTAAATTCCGAGTGGGACATAGGGTTCCAAGCTTTGAAGGTTAAGCAGTGGTGTTACTTTTACGCGAAGAGGTTGCTACCTCCGCACGCAACCCCTTCTCTTTTCCAGGCTTATAACCAGCTACAGTACAATACATGGAGGTTTAGAAGTGTGTCAACCAGCGATCAAAGCCAGACCTCCAGCGCAGGTAACCAGCATTCTACCACTGGACCACTGGTGGCCATTAGTATATTTTAAAGTTGTTCAAACACAAAGATGTCATCACTTTACCCTTTATCTATCTCTCTTCTTAATGATTGATTTGTCAGTGCCAGAATCACGACATTAGGTTTAGCCGATATCAAACAAACCGAGCTAAGCACAGTTTTCAAGATACTCAACTTGATATTTTGCTTAATATTTAACAATGCCAAGCTATGAGCCACACCTTTTATGTGAAAGAGAGTTGGTGGTAACACCTAGTTAACAACTCAGGCTACAGTAAATGGAGAGAGATTCGAACCTAGGACCTCTAGCGACTTGGAAGAAGAGTCAACGACTAGCAATCTCCAGGAATATTTAACAGTCCTTAATCATAAAATGATACCAAAAAACACAAATTTATCCAAAAATATAACTTTTTATCTTATTATTAAGCATGTATACATCATAAAAGAAAGAAAGAGCATCAGTTCCTTAGAACAGAGGTGAAATGGCTACTGAAGTTCTTTGGGTTTTTGCTTGTCTATCCAGATACACGCAAAACAAGATTTAACCCACCTTAAGATTTGTATCAGGTGACTTTGAACTCTTAGTATTCTCTTCCGGTTGATTATTATCCTCCATAGGCTTATTATTATTATTATTATCATCGTCATTATCATCATTATTGTTATGCTCGTCATTTTTACGACTGTTATCTACTAATGTTGCCTTAGTATTTTCCAATGATTCTGATTGTTGTAGGAAGTGAATCAATAAAGGCAATATAGTTTTCCGTGTAACTTTGATATTATTCACAATTGCGGTGAAATGATTAAATCCAGGGATAGATTGAGGCACTAACTGTAAATTATGCTTTGGATCAAGAAAATACTGAAGTAACTACAAAAAATAGAAAAACAAAAACAGGAAAATAAAAGTGAATGGAAGATCTATTAGCGAAAGGGATCAAAATGTGATCAACACATGATCTCAAGAATATTTTAGTCTTTTTGTTTCTTTGTTTTCCTTTTCCTTTACGTTCCCAGTGGAGCATAGGGCTCCGAGCTAGAGGCTTGAAATTCCTGTAGCAGTGTTAATTTTTACAGAATGGGGTTGCTAGCCTCATGCCCAACCTTTCCGCTTTACCAGTCTCACTACTGGCTTAACGAGGTAAAGGAGTGCGACGACCAGGGATAGAACCCCGGACCATGTGCATGGTCAGCAAGCGTCCTAACCACTGTGCCACCGACGCACTTCAGTCTTTTTGTAGACTGACAAAAAAATAAAACAACAGTTATTTAATGAATTCTTGATAGATCGCAAAAATGAAATAATTTAGAGAATCATTAAAGACCAGGAAGTACTAGACAGCTGTTTCGTCCAAGTCTGGCACTTAATTTGAAACCAACCAAATCTCTGATGATCAAGACTCATTAATGGCTGACTATAGGACAGAGTTTTTGGTGTTCAAGTGAGAAGACATGACCAGTCGAGGATAGATATTAACTGATGACATTTGGCTGGTGGTAGTGAAATTGGATTCCGCTCCAGTTGGTTAACGGTCAACGGGCTCGCCTGCTAATCTGAAGGCCTCGAGTTCGATTCCCATTGGGATCAAGGGTGCATACTGCAGAAGAATCTCAAACCGGGATGAAACCGCTGTTCAGTATTCTCTGGTTTTTATTTGTTGTCTAACTTGAAATCAGTTGAATCCCTGCAAACTAAGACTTTATAACTTATCACAAAAAACAACACAGAAAGTATGTCACACCTACTGTATGAGGGTGGATGATACTGTAACGACAGAAGACAAGGGCTATGCAACAGATCGTTTATTGAGAAAATCATATCATGTTCATAGATTTCTATGTACATTATCATTTGTTACTGTTAGCAGAGAGACAACGTCTTCTGATTGGTTGTTTTCTTGCTGAAGGTTATTCCGTCACCTCTTTGTTGCCGTTTCTTAGACAGTCCATTGATATATCTGAGGATCGTATCCGCCCACGCTAAGTCTGCTGTGATTGGTTGTTGAGTTCCTCAAGGTTAGGCCTTGTTCTTGTTTTTTCGCATCACCAAGATATGGGACGTAAACATTGACGGGAAATGTTGTCTACAATTTTGTATTGCAGACAGCTTTCACCACAATACCACTTATCAACGAGAAATCTCCGTCAGTGTAATGAAGCTTGAAAATACGGCTTACTTGATTGGAAGTCCATTACTTACACATCAATCAAGCATAATTTCACGCAACTTTTCTCACCATATATTCATATACTTACTTACTCAAAGACTTACAATCATGTGCTGCTAGTCGACCAAGGGTGAATTTTTTCAGTTCAAGAACTGATCTTATTATAAGCCATATTTATTAAACAAAAAATAGCTGTAACTAAGCAGAAACAGAAGTGTATGATTATTGACGCGTTAATGCTTAGTTGAGATAGTCTTCTCGCAACACGTCAGATTTGTCTATCTATTCATTTTGTAGTTAAAGAATAACATTGAGTGGCTATAATTACACACGCAAAGCCGACAGATATTATGAAACCCCCGCGCCACTCTAATTTCTCTTTGTATTTTCATTCTGAATTGTCAGTGTCCAGCGACCATGTTTGCTCAAATATCTTCCTCCATAGGAGTATTTGATTTCAGAAGAGACTTCTTAAAAACTAATTTTATAATGTAGCGATATATTTTCTGATATGACAAAACAATCATTCCTTAAAACGCCATTTCAGTAACATGGAAGTGTTTCTCAAATTATGCAGACGGTTCATCTAGTATTCAGTAACTACTGTACCTAAAGCTGACTAGAAAGTAAGAGAGGACGCCACTGTAAGTGAAAGAATAATTGTCTTCAACTTATATTCACCAGTGAACAACTTCTTGGATGGAGGGGATCTAAGACAATCTGTAAATATGACTTGAAATCCTATGAAATACATACCAGAATGGTAAACCGAGTTATTAGTGATGTAACACTGGTGTACTGCAAAGAAGTAATACAAAAGCAATATTCAAACCTATTACCAATTTTTTATCCGCATATTGCCATAAATATTACATTATGCGTTGTATTTCATGTCGCCTACGCTGTACCAAAGTTTGTGAATCAGACATATATATATATATATATCCCCTTGAATTTCAAGTGGGACATAGGAGTTTCAGCAGAACATTTCTGTTCCCTTTAATCCTCTGCAGTCTTTCTTAGCCGGCTCCAAAACTGCCCTCATTTGCCCCTGACACGATCTCCTCCATGTCACCCTCAGACCCAGGCCCAACCTTTTGTTTCCCATTAGGGTTGCGTTCGAGGGCCTGGCTGATATATATATATATATAACAAATAAAATGGAGCTTTCAGTTGAATATTTTTACGCCAATGAAGAACTATTTTTCAGCAGATCCAGTTTTCCAACCTTCTCTTGACAAAATAAACATAAAATATAATAGATGGAGTTGTGCATTGATTTCGAAGAGCATATTCGAAACTTTGAATTATTTATTTTAAAACTTGAGACTAATCGGAAACTTCCCAATTTAAGACATAACAACTGTTCAATGGTTTCTTGTTCCTCAGCAGTTCTGTATAGATAGATAATGTCAGTTTGTGACGAAAAATCTCCGGTCAAAAACTATACAGAGCGTTATCACTTAACCTAAGGTAGTACACATATTAAGCACAGGTATACTAATGGTTTAACCAAGTCGAGAATAAATACAACTCAAGATAAAACAAAAAGAAATGCTTACAGCATTATAATACTGAATGGGAGCATCCATACTGTAAAAAATGACAGCCCTTCTTCGGAAAGCTGTTAACTCAGATGGAGGCGCAGAAGAAGAGTGATCTCCTGGTGGATATCCAACAGTAATACAGATAAGTATAGTTGTATTATATTCCGTACACATTCGATTTGCTGCTTCAATGAAGTCGGATCTACCAGCCAATACCTGCAATATAAAAGAATTTCAAAAAAATAAATAAATAAAACAAGTTAACAGAGACTTTAGAGCTTTGTATGATAATACAGAAAATTACAAATGATATTATTGAATTGCGGAAATCCATAGATGAACGAGTGTTATTCAGCAGTCTCTAGCACCTGGTGTGGTCGTGTTTGCATAAATTAAATTTCTGCAGGCCCTAACTTGTCAGAAAAGTTAGACAGATAGGGATAAAACTTAAAAAATTACCACCATAGCAAAAGTTGCTAACACTGACGTAGGTGTCAGATGCATCGGTAGTAAGGTATTTCCTTCAAATAGATTGGCAATCGGAGGCGACGTGTACAAGCACAAGAATATACACAGAGCAACATGGATGATGGACATACCACAAACCAGATTGATTTCATCTCAACGTGGCTCAAGGAAGCGGAGATGCAACTGGCCTGCTGGACACAAAGTCGAGGAGGGAAGCAGATGTGGGCTTAGATCATCATCTAGTTCTAGGAACCTTCAAAGTGAAGCTGAAATCCCTCAAAACAAATGGAGACAGACCACAATTCACGTTCAACATTCAGAAACTGAATGACAAAACTACAGGGGATGCCCTCACTACAGATATCAGAGCAAAGTCGGAGATACTAAGTGTTATCACCGAGGAAACCTGTGTGAAAGACGTTTGGAAGTCTCTGAAGGTGATGTTCAAGGAAACGTGTACAACTGTCCTGGGAAGAAAGAAGAGGCAAGGGAAGAAATGACTCTCAACAGATACCTGAAAGCTAATAGAAAAGAGGAGAGAAGGATGGTAAAGAGAAGATGACTCAATGCAAAGGTGGACAACAGAAGGGGAAGCTAAGTTCAATATATACTGAACTGAATAAAGAACTGAAGGAGAGTGCTAGGAAAGACATAAGACAACTATATAACACACTGGCCGGCAACTGAAATGGAACACGCAGGAGGCAGGTAAAAGAGACCTAAGAAAATTATATCAGACAACCAGGTCTTTATCCGGAAAGAGATCAACTCAGGTGAAATTTATAAAAGATGGTCTGGGAACCTAATCACCAAGGAGGAGACACAAATAAAACAATCGGCTGATCACTTCAAAAGGCTCTTGAATCAACCATCATCTACAACCCGCCCAGAAACACCACCACCAATAGGACGCGCAGAACTGCCTGCCACTTCCAACGAAAGCAGAAATCCTGAATGCGACTAAGTTACTGAACGCTGGTCAGATGGAATTATTCCTAACGACCCCCCGAAGCACTTAAAACGGACCCAGAGGCTGCCGCAGATGTTCTCATGCTTCTATTGAAAAAAGTTTGGAAAGAAGGAAGGAAATGTGCCTACCTATGGATTGGAAGAAAGGCTGGCCACCTTGCCAGACTGCCAAAGAAGGGTGACCTCAGCAAGAACTGGCGTGGAATACTGCTCTTGTCCATGTCAATTAAAATACTAAGTCGCATCAACCTGGAGAGAATAAAAAATGCACTGGATACCGAACTCCACCAACCCGGAACAGGTTGGAATCAGAAAAGGTAAATTATGTTCTGATCAAATTGCGATTCTACGCATCATCATCGAACGAAGCATAGAGTGACAGTCAAACCTCTCCCTAACTCAACTTCACCGACTTCAAAAAGGCCTTCGACAGACAGCGTTGACCGGGAAGTAATTTGGAAGTTGCTTCAATACTATAGCCTGTAGTGCGCAATTTTTTTATCAACCTCATTCAACAGTTATACGACAGTGGCACGTGCCAGATGATCCACAACGGAAAACTCAGTGAGGCGTTCGAAGTGCATACAGGAGTAAGACAGGGCTGCCTTTTATCAACAATGATATTCCTAATTGTGGTGGACTGGATCATGCGTCAGGCTGTGGGTAGCAATAAGACAGGAATACACAGGACCGATAAGAATACTCTAGAAGATCTGGATTTCACAGATGATTTGTGTCTAGTGTCACACAAACTTGAAGACTTGCAAGCGAAAACCAGCGAACTGGGTGAAAAAGCAAGCAGCGGAGACAGGACTCCAGGTGAACGTAGAGAAGATAGAGGTGATGACGATAACCAACCAACCAACAGCAATAACAACCAGCACTAATCACCATCAAAGGGAGAGATTTAACAGAGACTACTTCCTTCACGTATCTAGAATGCATTGTTTCAACCACCGGGGGGAACATATGAAGATTTCAAAGCATATATATATATATATCTTATGACTTAAAATGCAGTGTACAGTAACGAATTAAAATGCTAGTCCGTCATAATAAATAAGCTGAGAAATATTACTACCCTCAAAATAGAAAACTATGACTCACTTGAAAATCCATTCCAGAGATAGTGGAACATACAATTCGACATTTATCACTATCTGGATTTGAAGCAATTTTCATATCACGACGTAACAAATCCCATGTAGACAAACCTGTTGAAAATAATTTACAAATATGTAAGGAATACAATAAATCCTATGATTCAATGGCAGAATACTCACCAGCCACACATGTTTGTCTGTCTGCCTGTTTCAACGTAGAACTTTGCACCGATGCCCAGCAAATCAAGTCGCCACACTCCCTCCATGTAGCACACAAACCAAGAGAAGAAAGTAGAAGAAATGTGAAATAGAGACAGTAGACAGGGATATGAGACAAAAGGAATAGTAATAACGAAGAACAATATAGTTTCACTGAAAATTATAGGTCAAAAGGAGTGGATACATCTGCGTCAACGATTAAGAACGATTTTGAGTCATATCACCAATTGTCTACAGCCGTCATTGGTGTTTACCGTCCCGAGGACCCCAACCAGGAAACCAGTCTACACCTCCCTACGCGTCTGGCTTAAACTAACTGTTGTGGATTTCATTGACTGGCGGCATGTTTTGGTTTGACCGCCGCTAGCTCTTTTCCAGCTAACAGCCCGTCGAGGAAGGCGATGGTTAGGCATACACTTCAGTCAATGTAGCTTTACAACCTCGTCGATTGACTTTTCTTCCCATAGCACTATAAACCTAACCTTAATATTGCTCACCTTATTATACCACTTAATACGGGAAACAGAAAGCAAACAGTTGTGATTAAAGACAGTTAGCCTTTTCGTATCTTCAAGTTTCAGTAGCCATGTTTTGCAGACATAAAAGAAGACTGTCCATTGGATGACAGTCTAGGGGAGATGGCTAAACCCTGATTCCAAACCTCCAACGATTGGCGTATGAAGCTCACTGGAGCTCACCGGCAGACGTATGGACAAAGGGCTTGTTGGTTTTCCTGGATGTCTGGCCCATTCAAAAAGGCGTATGAACCGAACTTCGGTCATCGGCTGCCAATGGATAGTGGACTCCTTACTCCACTCCTACTGCCTTGTAGGTCACACTTGGTTGTGTAAAGGCTAGAGCTGCACTCTCAAACAAAAGCCGAGCGATGCTGGGGACATCACTCGTACCAAATTCCCATGAAACTTCATGAACTCTCTTACAAATTGCCGCGCCTGGCAGCGATGATTCGAGACGTTCATGAAGCCGGCTCATCCTCCCGTAGGAGATAGCCGAAGTAAAGACAGAGCGAAGTGCTGAGCAGCATACAAACCTTCGAATCGATAGCCAGATATCACGTCTACGCCAGAGATGAGACAATTTGACAAATTTCACAAGAGATGTTTGTAATTGTGCTGAGATTTTATCAGCAACCAGTCCACTAGGACTGATACAATAGTAAGGTGGTCATTACTCTCAACCACGTCACTCCGTATCTCTAATCTAGGAGTTGTCATAAAACTAGAACACTGATAAATAAAGAACTGAAATTTGAACCGAACTATCAGCGTAGAACTTTGTGCCAAACTGTAGTAATGGTGACTTTTATGATATCAAATATCACATGAAGTGAATATATCCGCGCTACTACAAACGATTTTCAGCCAAGTCACTAAGGGCCTCAAACCATCGATTCCTAGCATCCTCAGGTGAAGGTAAAAACTAGTTCTAAATTTCATTTCAATTAACGAAGGTTTTTCTCAACGATACATAACAGTTAGTTGAATATCACCAAACTAGCTACCTAACCAACTCTTTCAGTCTGAAATTTAGTAATTCGAATCAAAGACGATAAAGAGTTGAACAAGCGTTGGTGAAACTAAATGAAATGACACTAAGTACTGACAAAGCTTGAAATAAAAACTTTTCTAAATCTTGCTATTATCATGCGCCCTTATTTTTGAATTCTGCCTCACTCTACTAGAAACTATTTTCGAACATCAGCTTATCTGTTGTAAAAGTTTTGACTCTTTGTTACCTTTTCTTAGGACAAAACTATAGAATGACTACAAACAATCAAGCCAGATCTTTATAGATATTAAAAAACGAAAACGCGGTGTTGGAGCCACTGTTATATGCAATAGCATGCACTACAACAATCTACGACTTCACCCACTTGGCGTACCTCGCGCGAGCATGTAAAGAGCTATAAAGTTTTCTTCAAAGATACACACCATAGCACACTTTGATCAACGGAGTTCACTACCATCCTAAAACATGTGCTTGAAATAGACTCACATAAAAGATAAGTCCTAATTAAGACTTAACAAATGCTATAAGATAGCGACGTGATTAAAAACTATTGGAAGCAGTACTAATTCCTTTGACTTTCCTTAAATAAAATTCTAGGCGATCGGTTAACAATACGAACATTTTCGAAAACCTTCAAAGCTGTTTACTATTAAAGAAATGATAGTGATTTCAATGTCACTAATCAATACCTTCTTAATCTTTGAGTCACAAAAAATGTGACACTTTAAGGTAGGTGGAAAACATTTATTAGGGTAAGCGCACACACATAATCTCTAAAGATCTATGAACTAATAAGACAAAGAAAATATTTCTGCTCGACAAACCGACAAACTGGAGATCAAACATAAAATATGCAGAAATATCTATCTGATATACAATTGGTGGATGGTGGCTAGCAGTGGAATCCAAGATAACGCGCATTTCGTCCTATTTGGGACTCGTCATCTGGATGTACCTGCATTTCTCAGTGAGTGATGATGTTCCCACCGAGGCTCGAACCCAGTGCCCATAGTTTCAAACGCCAAAGCGTTATCCACTAGACCACTTGGGCCACGAGTGGCTTGATGGTATACGAGCTCGCCTTGTAACCAGAAGGTCCTGGGTTCGAATCCCGGTGGGTGCGTACTGATGAAGAGTCTTAAAATAGGACGAAGCAGCTGTCCAGTACTCCCAGGTTTTCCAGTGGTTCTCTAACCAATGGCCCAAGTGGTGTAGTGGATAACGCTTTGGCGTTTGAAACTATGGGCACTGGGTTCGAGCCTCGGTGGAAACATCATCACTCACTGAGAAATGCAGGTACATCCAGCTGACGAGTCCCAAATAGGACGAAATGCGCGTTATCTTGGATTCCACTGCTAGCCACCATCCACCAATTGTATACTAATTAAATGCCCAGACATCGTCGAAGCATCTGCACAAGAAGCCGGCATGTCAACCTGAGACCGAGCACTTCGGTCCAATCAATCGACGGGAAAATCAAAAATTCAATTCAATATTTATCTGATAGTTAGGTGAAATATTGTCATGACTACACTTTTCAACTACAAACCACAACTTCTATCAGTCTAGGAAATTTGTAAGTATTACTTTTTGCGTAGAGTGGAAGAATTGACATTAAATGCTTTCGCGATTTCCATTCATCAAATGTAATCACACCTCGAAAATTAACTTCCCCATCCTCTACTGATGGCTGCTACCTTGACATGATAGTTGGGTTTGCATATCGTAGCAACTAATCTTTCTGTGGCTCCTACCATGCCAGAAAGGTCTTTTGGATAGCTATTAGATGTTGCCGTCATAGTTTAACTTATGTGCATTATGTTGGGGGTCTGTAAGAAAGGTCAGACTGCTGGAGAACAGCGACGTAGCAGCAGCAAGGTGCTAACCTCAGATGACCAGCATGCCAACTATGCTACCACTCAGCTCTGGAGAAGAGAGATTAAAAAAGACCAAACAGGAAAATTTTACACCCCAGCTTATTTTGCAGAGGTCCGTAACCGGCAGTAAGATCCTAATACGAACACAGCTCTAAAAATCCCTTCAAACAGGATGTGTGCAACCAAACTCAAAAAGTTGTCCCATAGGCTCGGTGGTCACGCAATACTAGTATTCCTTCTGTTTCAGGCACCACATAAAGAAGTCAGCTTGTCCACTATCTAACAAATACTTACAGGATTTCACCATGAGCTGACATTGGCTAGAGAACCATTGGAAACCTGGGAGTATTGGACAGCTGTTTCGTCCTGGTTTGGGACTCTTCATCAGTACGCACCCACCGGGGTTCGAACCCAGGATTTTTTGGTTACAAGGCCAGCGAGCTCGTAGACCATTAAGTCACCGGGGTCCGATCCAATGGCCCATGAATTCTAACTCCTGCCAATTCACGATATAGCGCGGCCCCTAGCCAATTCTGTCTGTCTGTTTTCGACATAGAATAGCCAATGTCTTCGGCAAGTATCTGTCCTCACACCCGACCTGATAGGGTGTCGCGCTATGTCGTGAATTGGCAGAAGTTAGGATTCATGTGTCATTGAATCGGGTCCCAGTGGCTTGATGGTATACGAGCTCGCCTTGTAACCAGAAGGTCCTGGGTTCGAATCCCGGTGGGTGCGTACTGATGAAGAGTCTTAAAATAGGACGAAGCAGCTGTCCAGTACTCCCAGGTTTTCCAGTGGTTCTCTAACCAATGTCAGCTCATGATGAAATCCTGTAACCAATCAAATCCCTACAAACCAACACTTAAAAATCTTATACTTCATTGCTAAGTACATATAACAGAAGTGTGATCTGTTCATTAAAAAGAAAACTCACAAAATTACTTTATGACTGCTCTTAATCCACGAAAAAATACTGACTGCTTAGATTTTCTAGTTTTGAAGTAAACGAAATGAGAAATATTTATTTCAGATCAGATGTAAGACATGATCAAATTAGTCACAAACTCATAATATGCCCATGTTTTACCAACGAAAGCCGAATAAACAACCTAGTCGAATAAAACAATAAACTCGTCATCATTTGCAGATAATATTTTCACAACAAAAATAAAAGGTTAAATTATTCTCATAAACCGTTTATAAAGTCATACAAAACAGATCTACCTTGAACATCGAATTTTGCTGCTTCCAATTGTGTGAACAATGTATTTCTAGAAGTACTCGGCGTAAATATTTGATCACAAATAATATCTTCAATACGACAAGCCATACGATAATCTAAGTCAGTTAAACGTCCAGCTGTTTGACCAGCACTAGAAAGTCCAATTGTATCAATCAGTATAGCACCTAAAGAAAAAAGATTAATATATTAAATAAACGATGCAATTTATTTGTTTGTGCTTTAATACCATAAAGTAATTTCCATACACTGGCTGGTAGTTCACTTCCATCGATTCCCTTTAAAATTTCCAGCGTAACTAGACTTGAACACGAGCCGACAAGATCAATTTGTTTGAAAGGACACTTTTCAACAATTTGATTATTTGTTACTTGATGATGATCAATTATTTCCACAATTGGCCATTGGCTAAATTTCTCACTTGGTAAATGATGATCAAGAAGTATAAGAGATATTTGATTTCCATTAAGTGTTGCCTGACTTCCACTGAACACGTCATCGGCATAAATTAATTCTTCCCATTTTAAACCGCATTGAGTCAGCCAAAAAGTAACTTCTGTACGTAAAATCATATCGGCTCTATTGATATTGCATACAGGTATAACAGTGAACTCATTTCCAAGCATCTAAACAATATGGTAAGTAAAGGAACAACTGAAAAAGTTGACTTACCGTTTGTTTATAAAATCCATAGGCAAGAGCACACGCTGTACTATCTAAATCACATGCTTCATTTCCAACTATAAAAAGCCACTGACTCGAACAACCAGAACGCTGTAAATATTAACCAAAGGAAAAAGATGTATTGAAAAAAAATGGTTTCAGTGCATGCATTAAATACTATAGTAGGGGTGGAGTAAATGACTTACTAGAGCAGCAGTTGCGCTATTCAGAAATGAATCCATCACATTATTTAACACGAACTAGAAAATCAGCGAACGATAAACAATTAATCAAAGCGAAGATTCTATAATGAACATGAAAATAAAAACACATTTTGATTACCATTCACAAGACAAAAGTAGGTACGACTAAATTTAGAAATAAAACAGTGATTATTAAACTTACAATAATAAAAATACAAGTTTACAGTTTGTGACAATCAATAATTTGTGTTTAGTTACCATGAAAGACGCTCAAAAAGTATTTAAACACGTTAAATGTGCCAAACTATCTATTCAATTTGGTTGTCAGTGTACTGGTCGAACTTTTAAATTCCAACAGATTTATAAACCACTTTTCAGTGGATAACTAGACTCAGCTTACTAAAAATCTTTGCAGCATATCGTGTAGTAATGCGTACCAATACACCGGGTCAACGTGAATGATGGATTAAAAACCAGCATGATCTATACATACGTAAGGGTTTCTCTCGATATTTACTTATATCGCATGTATTACAAACGAGTATGTTTCCCAATAGTGAACCATGTAGACTAAAATTACTTCTTTTAACGGTTAAAAGTGCCTGATATTTGGTACTTAATAAGCACCACAGACTTGTAGTGAAGTCACCGAATGATCGACAATCACTACGAGCTATCACTTGACCCAGTAACTATAATATGAGTAAAGCTGTTGAAGTTTTTCAGCAAGTGTCTTAACATGATGACTTGGTTTTCCTTAACGCAATCAGGCATCCTAGCTTCACCGATTAGGACGTTTGTTCATTGAAAATAAAGTGAAAAATCTGTGAAGTCTGTAATAGCTTCAATGATTATATTAACACATTGCATTTTATTTTAGCCGAAGTGCTAGGCATTACGTAACCGCGAACTTTGTAAAAGGAGTGAATTTTACACGCTCTTGTTGTGTTATACGCTCCAAAAGTCTATAGATTAACTTTGAATCAGTTTATTCTGATCGAAGTTGGTTTAGGTTTCAGTTTTGAGTCTATTTAATTATAGGAAGTTGTGTTCTTATAACTTAATAGTTATATATATATATATATCCATTTTTGTGCACTCATTGGTTTTTTTTATCACTGATTTGTAAAGGTCATATACATAAAGTCATATTTGAATCTTTTGCCCCAATTCGCTCTGAAAAGCAAACCTATCAAAAAGAACCGCTGTGGAAGAGCCATGTGCAAATTTCCAGATGAAGAAGGAATGCAGTGTGATAACTGCAAGAGATGGTTTCATAGCATGTGCACAAAGCTAACTCCTGCAGCATACAAGCGCTGCTGCAAACCTCTTGCGAACAGGCTGTGCAACGACTGCTGTAGTACAACTAAGTTTCGTATAACGGGAAACATTGCCACTCTCAGTGGGGCTCTAAAGCTCATGGACTGCAAGGGTCTTCCACCACAGGAGAAGACCGACTACTTCTCAGACGCCGATGACGTGACTAGCGTCATCGACAAAACAATACACGTCCCTGATGCGTCTCTCAATAAGTGAGTGCCATTAAGCACAGAAGAGTAACCACCATATTTCAGACATCCATGCTGCCCCTACGATACCGGACAAGCCCTCTAGTGACAGTAATAGAAAGACTGCCAGAAAGAAGAGGCGTACCACGAGTCGAAAACCCGCAGCTCAAGTCACCCAGGGACTTGTAGATCAATTATTGTCCACACCGTTGAAAAGCAGGCAGATAATACCGACTGCGATTAACGAGGAGGACGCCAATGAATGGCGTAATGTAGTCTCTCGCAAATAGCGGGATAAGGACAAAGTATTGGCCATACTGTTCACGAAGGACGGAAAGACATTTACGCCACAGAGCAATAAACCCACGGCAAGCAAACCTGATTTCACTGACAGGTCGCTTATTCTCCACAAAGTGGAAGAATCACCGGCATCCGATCCCAAGATCAGGTTCGAGCATGACCTTAATTTAGTCAAGCCCCTTTTAGATAAGGTACTGCCAAAAACAGTATCAGGCATAACAATACACAGCTTATATAGAATCGGCCAAAAGCTGCACTCTACAGTAAATCAGCCTGTACGTCTCCTCAAAGTCGTACTAAACTCGGAAGAAGAGAGGGATGCCATTCTAAGCAACTCTCAAACTCTTAAAGGATCAGGCATATATGCCTGTGCCGACTTAAGCCTGGCAGGCCGTCTCAAAAGACAGTGAGGCCCTAAAATAAGGCGAACGATGCCGGAACGGCGAAAAAACCTTAAGATTTAGGGTTTTCGGGTTGTCAGAGTTCGAAGTTTGATGATCCCGAAACTTCTGTGGGTAGGCCGCGGAAGCACCGAACTGAATTGACAGTTTTCTACAAAAACGCCCCCAGCCTGTTGAACAAACGGACTGAGTTGGGTAATATGATAGACTCCGCAAATCCAGATGTAATTATCACCACAGAGACATGGCTCACACCCGATGTCACTGATAACGAAGTTTACCTGCCAAACTTCGAAGTGCATAGGGTGGACCGACTAAGCCACAAAGGAAATGGAGTAGTCATCTAACTCAAGAAATGCTCAACCGTGCGTAGCATCGAAGCACTCGCACACGAAAATGAATTGTGCGAACTTCTACGCTGAAGACTTAAATGCATAGGCCAAGATATTGACCTCATTGCTGTATCCCGCAGTCCTGACTGCACTGCAGATGACTTCCTAATCGAGAAGCTAAGCACCTGGACATCGAATGTTGAAGTCTCGTAGTCGGCGACTTTAACGCCCCAACATTCGACTGGACAAGCCTTACAACGCCATCTTCAGCCAACTCATTCGATTGTAAACTGCTGGAATCTTGCACTTCGCTAGCCCTAGTCCAACATTTCATTAAGCCCACGAGCTATGACACACAGCACTCCTCTTTAACTCTGAACCTAGTGTTCTCCCATGGTGAGGATGTGGATCTCATACAACATCCTCCTTTAGGAAGAAGTAATCACTCTGTGCTCACTTTCATGTTCACAGCAGCATCATGGGCCAAAACCCCAGCTCGACAGAACGTTTGGAAAGCTGATATAAATGCAATCGTTTCAGCAGCTAACTCAGTGAACTGGTACATCACCCCCGAGTCCCGCGTAGAAGCCTTATGAAACCAAACTTAAATAACCTTTCATCCCTTGGTATGTCCCAAAGGGTTAGAAACATCGCCCCCCCTCACCTTTGATAAACCGAGAGATTCCTAAATTACTCAGACGCAAGCACAAATGTTGGGACCTATTTGTCACACTTGGGACTCTTGAGATCAAGAGATTATACAACACTGATAGGAGCAAAGCTATTGCGGAAATCCGCCAATCAAGAATGAAGTTCGAAGCACATCTGGCTCAACATGCAAAGGCACAACCTAACAAAATTTTATTGTACATGGACTTCAGGAATAAAGCATCCAATGGTGTCCCAAACCTGACTATTGAAAATGACACAATGGAAGAAGATCAGGAAAAAAACAGAAGCAATGGCAGACTACTTCTCCCAAGTCTTTACATAGGAGTCATTACTCCCCAAAGGATCAGCTCTGGCTTCATTAGAGGAACATGGGATAGATTCCGTTGACATCGACCAAGGCATCGTGCTCAACTGCTTAATGAAACTAGATGCAGGGAAATCAATGGGTACTGACAATCTTCATCTAAGGCTTCTCAGGGAGCTACCAGCCCACATAGCCGGCCCCTTGACCACACTCTTCAAGCTATCTCTCCTAAATGGAATGTTGTCGCATGTTTGGAAAGACGCCATAGTAACCCCCATCCACAGAGGAGGATTAAGACAAAGCCCTTCAAATTACAGGCCTATCAGTCTCACTAGCACTTTAATCAAGACACTGGAAAGAATTATCAAGAAAAGCATCATGGCTTATCTGGAAAATAGCAGCTTGTTATCTGGAGCACAGCATGGCTTCCGGAGGAACCTCTCATGCCTGTCAAACCTCCTGACTGCAAGAGAAAGCTAGGTCAAATCAAAGGACAACAGAAGACCCGTTGACGCCGTCTTCATAGACTTCAGTAGAGCCTTTCATAAAGTACCTCACAAAAGACTACTCATGAAATTGGGAAGTCTTGGTATTAAAGACAGCTTACAAAACTGGACTAGGGAATTCCTCATAGATAGGAGGGTTAAGATCAACTCGAAACTCTCCTCCTGGACAGCAGTGCGTAGTGGAGTGCCATAAGGCACGGTACTCGAACCTCTCCTATTTATTTTGTATATCAATGAGTTATCTCTGCTCACCGACTCCCCTATGGTCCTATACGCAGATGACTTAAAAATTTGGAGAGATTTGAAGGGCAACAGTGATACGTTCGCGTTGCAAGAGGACCTCAAGAAATTGTCAGCGTGGTTCAGAGAATGGATGCTCCCGATTGATGTAGCGAAATGTGCAACTATGCGCATCAGACAAACAAGCATCAGCTCCCATGAACTAGAGGGAATAACACTCCCATCAGTTCAGACTCATTTGGATTTAGGTGTCATAGTTAGTCACGATTTGAAAACTACAGCACACCGTCGCGCGGTGGCTGCACGTAGTTTCAGATCCTTATGAGCGATTCGCAGAGCCTTTACTAGAATCACCAGAGATATGTTCACCTCCTTATATACATCTCTGGTGAGGTCAAGACTGGAAAACTGCATCCAGGCCGCCAGTCCTTGTCTGAAAAGGGACTCGCACATCCTAGAAAGTGTTCAAAGGAAGGCAGCACGTATGGTTCACGGCATAGCTAACTTATCATACCAGGAAAGGCTAGACAGTTTAAATCTCTTCTCCCTGTCATACCGTAGGCAGAGAGGAGATTTAACCACAACGTTTAAATTCTTAAATAATGACAACGGACCTGACCTATTCTCTCATTTTCTTCCCACCAGGTTGGGACACCTTAGAGGATATAGCAGGAGAGTTCAAAAGCCAAGAAGAAATCATATTGCTGTTGAGTACTGGTTCTCACACCGAGTCATAAACTCTTAGAACCGACTGTAAGAAGAAGTGGTGTCTGCAA